AAAATTAAATCTCAATTATGACAAAATTTTCTTTGATATTTAATTTAACTTAATGTAAACTTTATGTAAAGTCTCCACAATTTGCATCAATCTCACAAAGATTGAAACTTTTTGTCTTTGAAATAGCATCCACACAAACCAAAGAGGACAAAAAATTATCTTTTTTTTTTTTATCATACTACATGTATATCTCAATTTTTCCATATGAGTGGGTCTTCGGCTCTTCGCTCCATTTTTTTTTTTTTTTTTTTGGAAGATTATACTCAAAGCATGCGTAAAACCATTCATATTTCGATTAACAAAAACATATAGAGCAAAGACCCATTACACAACATTCGTATCTTTCCGAAAAATGTTCACTGTTCATTTAGTCAATGGTCATTTCACAAATGTGATTTAAATGCCGATATTTGACATGAGATGTTAAGCGGACTGGTTAGCGTGTTAGTCTTTGAGAGAGAGAGAAAAAAATGATTCAGGAATATTATTGCTTAGGTTCGAACCCCAAGAATACCACATTTTTTAAAAATCATAGAATGATTTTTGCTGAAAGAATTTTCTGCAGCAGAGAAGCTTTGTTTGTCACAATTTCATACCTTACAATAATAAAACTTTTACTCTGAGTATACTAAATTCACAAATTAAGTATCACCATGACTTTTATACATTTCAAGGTACAGGCATTATGCATACCTTGTTCGCCCATCTCCTTTATTTTAAATAACAATGCGAGTTTTAGTTCTCCAAGACTTTTCCATGTGCATATTTATATGTGAACCCTTTTCTTTTCTTTTATACTTGTCTATTTTTGACCCTTGATTGTTATTAGTGTTTGTATATATTTATACACTTGTACCTCTTGTACCAGTGATGTGGTTTTGTGAGAATCAAGACTTAAAGAGATTATGGCCATTTTGAAAAGGCATTAAATCGCTAAAATTGCTTGAATGTTTAAAGTGATTGATTCCTCTGCAAGCTTAATTAAGACTGGTATACTGGGCAGTTTTTAGGAATAATTGCAATTTGTCACTTTTTAGTCACTCTAATTGCACATCTGTTTTCATCACCTGTCCCCAGTCTTCTCTTCTACGCACTTTTCTTGATTTATACCAAAACTAAATGGCTATTTACTAATAACTTTCCTTTGAAACTATCGTTTTATTTTATAATCATTTCCACGAATTTTTCTTTCTGTTGAACTGTAAGTTTGTTTCAGTGTGACTCTTCTTTGACTATATGCAAGTAAACGGTATATTCCATCTGCATATGTTTGGACCACATGTGTTTATTTTTTTTATTTATAAAAAGCTATTTAAAACATTTAGTTGTATATTCTTCAAATATGCATTCTATCTTTTAAATGAAATTATAAAAAATATAATTCAAATTACACCTGTCATTTTTTTCTCCCTTTTTTAATGAAAAGTTCCCAGAGGTTCCACCCACATATTAATAAAAGTGAGATCCTATTAGTTTCTAAAAGTGCTTTCAAAACAGACTAAGAATTTCAAATTAAAATTAAACTTTATACTTTTTTGATACTTTTTTTATGCGACTCGTTATTCTAGTTTCTGATAAATAATTCTATCAGTTGATGTCAATTTAACAGACGTCAAGGGATATCTAGTGTCGTAGCTTATATATCTTTGTATCCAGAAGCACGGCAAAGAAAATTAAATTTTTCCTGTATGTTATATTAATTCCATAATCCCATTATATCGCTTATGGAAATTGAAATTGAAATGATATATCTTCTAGTAACGCACCACACAGTATTTCTGAAAATACTTTAACTGCGGTTGTTCAAAGAAAGATGTCGATTTACAAGGTATATGCATTACAGTATTTCATTTCGAATCACCGTGTTACCATTATCTCCAAGACTGAATTTGTCCTCCGTTCGTTAAAATATGGAGAAATTGAATTGTATATTGCATCTTTTGTTGTTGTTGTTTTGTCCGTTTGTTTTGTTTTTGATCAAATTTCGCTGTATGTGCACCATTTTTGAAATATTAAAAAAAAAGTTTTTAATTTAAAATATTTATTTTCACAAATAAGAATTGATAAATAAAGAATATAACTCTATAGTTCCCTTCATAAGAGTAAAAAATGTTTTTGAAATACTGATACCATGGATCCTTCTTAAATTACAATTAAGGTGTTCTTGCTTTTTTTCCCCTGCATTGCGTACAATGACCTATAAACCCTTTACCAACACAAGGGATCTGACCTTAAGCATGTTAAGAGGTGTGTATTAACTTTGTACGCATTATTCATCAATTAAGAAAATAAGATTACCACTGGTAAAATGGCTGTGATTATGGGGGTCAGATTCCACAAAGAATAACAACTTACTCCCTGGTGGTCCTATTGTTAATCTTTGGTTTCGTAAAATATGACATATTAAACCTTGGTGTTAAACTCCACCTTTTTTCTTTCTTTCTTTTTCTTTCCTTTTTTTTTGAATGAAATGAAGTGCACCGTGAAAACTATGAGGATGTATGCATTTATCATATCTATAATAAAAACGCTAACTAATTCTTGTATGATCGATCTAATAATTTTGAGATAATAATAAAAGTGCAATTGAGCAAAAAATGTGCTAGGTCATGCAAAGCATTTACACTTTGGCGGTCATTATTGTTAGAGGTTGATGTCGCAGATCTACATGATGTGACAGTGTTCAATACTGTGAACGGTGACTCTCGGAACTCTCTGTTTGTCTGACACTATACCATCCCATGATATCTGATCATGAGTCGAAAGATTGTCACAATTTTTAATGCCCCTTTTTAATGGAAGTCGAGTTTTGATTTCCCTCGAGTGTCTGTAATTTAATAATTCATCGTTCGTCATCATCGGTATTTTTCATTATCTAATTTCTGCTGTTATTATTAATTTGCAAATAGGAGAATTGCTTCTATATCGCAAAATGTGGTTTTTCCTCTGGGTAGGGGAGGTTTCCTGTGCAGTTTTTGTTTATGTACCTTTATTACCGTAGACATGCCATTGCGTGAGAAAAGTAAACAATACCGAGAGCTGCGTTTTTGTAAAAGTTTTAACGTTGTTTACCAGCATTTAATTCATAACTATATGCTTCACGAAAAATAAAAATATTTTGTAATAAGAAAGAAACACAATATTCAATTAAATGATTAAAATTTAAATTGATTAAACAGCAGTTACACCAGTATATCGCCTTCTGATAAATATAATTAACATTCCCAAAAATGGTATTTCATATTTTCAATATTAAATATTAATATTTGTAGGTAATTATTTGATTGATTGCAAAACTTGTGTTCATCTTCATTCGTCGTTTACCAATTCATAGATTCCAAAATAAAACGAGTACAATTAATGGCGTGTACTATAATTACAACATTTTTAGAATTCGTCAATTAGTAAATGTCAAATGTGAAAACATGCTGGTATATATAGGTAAAGATACCCAAATTTGTCTCAGAATGGTTCTAGAAATAATAATTTGAAGAAAAAACAACTTACGTTGTCCATTGGATCTTCTTATGATGTTCTCTAGAAATGTATTTTGGGGGGCTACAAGTCCCCTCCTTGCTCCCGGCATTTCGATTTCACGTGGGCATCCAGAAGAAGTAAGAATCCAATTCTATGTATGTCTGCAGTTTTTAAGGATGAAAATAACAACACCAGAATTCCTTCATCTTTGCAACATTCCAAATTAAAATAATATCCATCTTTAGATTCATTTTCACATTCTCCTAAAGGTATTGCTGTTTCTAAACCAGGAAACCATAATGAGTACAGCAACTTAATTATTACTAATGAATATTCTGGTACTGCGCATGCGTAGCGGCCAGGTATCAGCAGCACCTGACTGAAAGCTTGTTTGGTTTGGAAATCCTCCACTGCTATTGCGATGCGCATGTCTCCATGGTGACAATGCCAAAAGTGACAAGTGTTTTGCGTATTCTTAAGAGACTATCTATTGAGTCAACACAAATAAATTTCTTAGTTGTCTGTTCGGGCTTGCTGTCGCATCAGCCAATATCAGCTGTGATAAGGTTACTAAATCTGTGGAGAAAAACGGCCGAACACCTTTTAGAATGGCATTGAAGACAATCAATAGCAGAACAATGGGTAGTAATGAATTATTTATAGATTACCACTTAAGTTAACATCAGTTCTATTTTGTCGTAGAAAATCGATCGTTTTGTTTCAATACATTTTGCATGAAAGATGAAACTGAATAAAGGCGCTTGATACAGGTAACGTCTGAAGCCACGATAGGGCGGGCCGCTAAATCAATGCCGTGACGTGAAGATCGGGGGAAATTATTGGAAAGTCTTTTACATCGACCTGTCATGATCAAATATGTTATAATTTCTGTTTGTGGAACTGAAAAGACCAATTCATTATTCAGAAGGATTACTTTTTTTACCATCGGATTCAAAAGAACGTTGTGTCATTTATTGACTTTCGGGGATTTGGGAGGAAAATGAATGAACATCACCGGAGTGCCATCCTGGATTTATTTATAGATAGTTCAAAGTGACACCCCCCCCCCCTTCCCTGAATATTCTGACAAAGGTTAAAGTGGTACATGTTAAAACTCACTTTAACAATATCATATACATGTAAATGGATACCGTAATTTCATTTAAATTATTCCATATTGTATTTGTTTTCTTAATTTCATGAGACCCCTTTTTTTAAAAAAAAAAAATGATAATAATAAAACTCCCTTCCTTATTTTTAATGTAAAATAATTTTCAAATGTGCATAAAATTACCAAATGGAATCATTCTATGTCATGGACTTTTGTGGAAACAATTGTATAAAAATCACTAAGTTCAGGTCTCTGTGAGCGCTTTTAAAGCAATTTTTGTAAGGGTTCTGGTTTGATATTAAAGAATGTTATAAATTGTCCACGAGAGAAGAAAAAAATGTCAACAGTATACAATTAACGAGATATGCGGTGCACATTATCCATTATTCCAATGTTACAAAGAAGAAAACTGTGTTGATAATAATTTATATATGTTACTTTACAAAAATGTAATTCCTCTATATTTCTATCTTCTGATATTTAAACAATATAATCATTTCTATATTATTTACAACAGTAGAAATCCTAACATATTTTTTTAAATAAAGGAGTTCTTTTGGATCCTAGAAAACCCAGAAGTCTTCTTCTGAGTCACCATGGTAAGCCTCGCCATCACTCATTTCCGGTCCCTCCACATCGCCAATGGGATTGAAGTCACTCTCATCATCAGAAGTTTCTCCAGGGAGCATCTCAAAGCAGGAAAACTTCGTCCTTAATCCTGGACAATTGCAAAATTGTTAAATATCATAAAACTGGTCATAAATGTGCGAAAAAGACACAATTCTTCTAAATTAACTATAATCCGAAAAATTGCAGATATGGTACAATTAATCCCCAAGACCCCAAAGGAAAAACAAAAATAACAGAAGAATGAAAAGATTTCAATTATATTTAAGCTACTTTTGTGACCAGTTTGAAACAATGTATTTATCCTGATTACATTACTTATACCTTTGACGGGCGATGAACCCCTTTCTTGTTCCTCTTTAACCTTCTCTTTCGTGGATTCTGTTTTTACAGTGTTACCCCGTCTACTGTGTTCTGAAGATCTCGGACAGGTGCCCGGATCATTTACTTCATCACGTGATTCCCTAAACCCACCAATCACGGTTGATTCTTGACTCCCAGAACCGCCCACGCATGGCAGAATGTGTGTGGAATTTCTATGAATTTGTTCCCTACTCCACCTTCCCGTTTCCAGACTTGGTTGTGGAGAAGTCATGGACTGCAACAAATGATCCCATTCCACATTGTTTCCCTCCAAATCGTCACCCGAATCTGGATCGGGATCTGGAATACAAGCTCATCATTAGACATAGAATATACATGTAGTATATAGAGAATAATTCGGAATCCATTGAAAGAGAAAAAAAAATTGTCTTGAATAATGTTCAACTACTGCAGTGTAGCAGGTAATCTTCTTTAGTGAATCAGATTGAAAGAAGAAATCTAATATTTTTCTACCAGACAACCAATCACACAAAACAAACAAACAAAACAACAACAAAATAAACAAAATAATAAAACAAACAAACAAACAAGTAAAATACATGCATATACATGTAAAATCCACACGTATATATTTAACTTAATGGCTAAAAGGTTGTAAAAAAGATTTTATGTTCATTTATAGCTCTCTTCTACAGTGCGTATTCCAGTTTGTAACATTATTATTCAGACAGAGGTTAAACAACTTACCACCAAAACTGAGTATAGTCCCCCCTTCTATTGCAATTGTCACTTCTTTAAATGCAGGTTTCTTCTTCGCCGCACGCTGCGAGTTGACATTGGCAGGGCTGAAATCTAAATTTATTCTTTGAGGACGGATGTGGGTTTGAGCGGAACAACGGCTACACGTGTAATCAGCTCTCTTACAAAACTTTGGAGCAAACTTTTCACAAACACCACAATAAAAATGTTTGTTACATGACAGAGGTTTAACAGGCACTCCAGACTGGTAACAGAAGTCACATTTACTGCTTGGTTCCTTTGTGCGAAAGGATTTATCTTTCAACCAAATATCCATCTTGACAACAGATTGAATTTCCTAATAAATAGTTGACGTCAAGATGATTGTGACGTCATAAAAGATACGACGACAGCAGCAACAGCCTATGTGACTTCATTTCAAAATTTTCCGGAAGTTAAAATTTTTACACAGAAAATAATTTTGAAAGCAATTGTCTTGTTATTTTGCTCAAAATTAAACCCAACTGTACATGTATACATATGATATATATATAATATATATTGTTTTTTAAATAATGTACGTATATTATGATGATACTTGAATGAGAGAGATGGGGCCCGTTTTACAAAAGAACTTCTGACTAAGATTAAAAAAAAAAAATTAAAGTTGATTGTAAAATAATGCAAAAATAATGAACCTGTTAAAAATTGCTTGGAGAAAAATATCTTTCTTGATTCTTTCTAAAAAAAAAAAAAATAGTAATAATAAAACCATATTTTCAAATTAATGTTAAAAAAAACTTTCAGTTTTAGGAGAAAATCAGTGAGTGAATGTTTAATAAAAATTCGCAGTGTTTATATTAATAAGTATACCGATAGAATTGTAATTCAAATGGGGGATTTTTTTAATGAATAAATCCCGATATGAGTCTACGTTTTATTACAGCTTTTAACCACAGTCACGCCATTGATACTCACGGTGTGGTATACCAGCACATCCTTTAGGTTTTGCATTCTGACCGAGACCAGAACATAGCAATTGGTGGTGTGAAACAAATTTTCCAGTCCAGTGTTTTGACATTGTTACAGAGATCAAAGATCAAAGGCGGATCCAGCCCCCCCCCCCCCCCGTTTGAATTTTTTGTATGTAGAACTTATATGTCCATTATCCTAAAATCAAGGGAAAACACCTCTTATTTGTAAGAACTCGTCAGCTACCAGGGCTTTAACCTGGACCAATTGGGGGCTTCAATGCACCCCCAAGACCCCCTGTCCCCCTGTCTTCTTCTGCGCCCCCCCCCGGCCTGGTTATGAAATTCCTGTATCTGCCACTGAAGAAAATAAAGACTAGCAGGTCATATATGATTTTGTAGATAAATTATCGTAGAAGAAAATGGTAGTCAGTTGTTTTCCACTGCGGTTTCTCTGAAAGCGTAAATGACTGTATAACTCTGGGGAGATGGGGACGCCTTGTAATTTGGAGTTAGATACCTTATGTTTCCTTGTTTTATACTTATGGGGTAAAAAAATATTACAGAGACAATTATGTGCCAGTGCGGGTAGATGACTTTTAAATTTGGTGCCGTTGACAATCTCGGACATGCAAGATCGACCTACCCGGGGCAACAGGATCTGGGTTGATGTCTTAGGATGAAGAGGAATGTCGGCAATCAGACAATTCAGTTTGATCGAATCAGTTGATAGAGCACCTGTTCAGAAATCAAGCTCTGATCTGATCTGTTTCATTTTCTCTTTTCTTGTTACAAGCAATTCTTATCACAGGAACTCGTTTCTGTAATTTTTTTTTACCCCAAAGTAGTTATATCATTATACTATGGGGTAGCAAATTTATTACAGAAACGAGTGCCTGTGTGTTTTATATACATATAAGGTTTATATACTTGCACCCCTTTTAGTATTGCGCTTACCAAGTTATTTGATTAATAATTGAATTTTACAATATATTCAAGCTTTGATTTTGGAGGTAAGTCTTACACATTCTAAAATACAGTGATTTCCCCCCGGAAAAGTGACCATAAACAATCTGTACGTCAATATCAGACGACGAAAACGTCATTAAATCTTATAGAAATTGTACTCTAACCAATGTTTTTATATTATAGACCTAGCGGACGTCATCATCGTTCACACATCTTAGGTCCAGAAACAAGAAGTAAAAAAAAAAAAAAAATAAGGCTATATCTTTAAAAAATTGTTTGGTTGTCCTCTCTCTAATCTCAGCGAGATCCGTAGAGACTAAAAATTTTGGTCTGGTGTCTCTATGTAGAGACACCAGACCAAAATTTTTAGTCTCTACGGAACTCGCTGAGATTAGTCCTCTCCCGACTGACTGGCTACAAATGGTCCGACTCAAAACTTTTTTACTACAGGATGCAATAATTCCGGAAAATAGATTTTGAAAAATTCAGCATTGATGTTGAAATATTCGGCGGGGGGGGTCACCTACCTACCGGCCCAATTTTTTCATCCTGAGTCGGGAGAGGGCAAACAAACATTGTTTTTAAGTTGGCCTGAGCTTAAAAAAATTTAACAGATGCAAAAGGACATATGATACCAAAAAAAAAAAAAGGATGCTGGGATTGATATATATTTTTGGACCTAGTTTGCTTGTAAATGCTGCAATTAATAAATTTCTAAAACATTCAGAAATTGTAAACTTTTTATGATGTTCAAATTTCTATTCCTTTCTGCAACCATCCTCATTAATCTATAACTTTCTGTCACTTTAAATCTCATTATTGTGAAACTTTGGATGAAAAATTAAAAAACTATTCGGTTAAACTTTTTTTTCATTTCACTTATATAAACATGACTTCAGTTCTTAATTTCAAGGTTTTTGATAAAAGTTTGTTTGTATCATCTGCATGTCCTTAAGTGATTAAAATTATCTTCAAAGAGAGCTATCAAATAAGCTTAACCTTCTGCCTTATCATATTCGATTTATTACACATTTAGACATGGCTGAATAGCAGTTATCTTTATATTTTCATCATAGTTTACAATTTCAAGAATGGAGTTTATCAAAGATGAAACTGAGCTCATACTAGTATCATCTTTGGAATTGTTGACATAGTTGTAAATACAGTTGTAAGAGGCCATAAACTGAAAGCTTAGTGGAGCATTTACACACAAATACTCTAGTACTCGGAAAGCAATAAATAAAATCCTTGTGGTTCACACGAAAACATTTTTAATGACGATTTTACAGCAGTATTTTTTTTTATGCTTCTCCATCATGCCTCTATCAGTCACGTGTTAAAGGAAAAAATATTCCGGATTTGTCTAATGAATCGGTAGGTAATTATTAATGATGCAGATCAGAGAAGATTTAAAGTAAAAATAGTATACTTTTTGTCTAAATTTCGTATTTTAAAGATATTTACTTGTACGTGTATTTACAAGGTGTGTCTCACTAATTCGGGGAATGTTGTAGAATTAAATATGTGGAAATATTTTTAGAAAAAGAAAAAATTATATTTTTGCTCACAGAATTTATTTTGTCTAAAAATGTATAAAAAATAAAATATAAAAATACATCAAAAGTGCTGCAAAACTCTAGATTTTCCTTCCCTTCACGAAGAATACTATAAACATTCTTACTCAGGGAATTTGTGTCTCCGCTCAAGGAAAAAAAAAGCATTGAAGATCTGAAATAATGCAGACGGAGAAAGAAAAAAAAGTCGACCTTGACCTTTCAGCTTTTTGCATTAAAGTCAACAGCGGTCTTTTTTAAGTTAAAGAAATTCATGTCCTTATATTTCCTTGCAAAGATTTTAAGTTATCATTTGAAAACTATGTATGCAATATATGAATTTCTGGCCTTGGTCTTTGACTTTTGACCTCAAAATCAATAGGGGTCATATTGTTTAAATTTGTAAAATTTCATTGCAAAACAAGGCCGTAACTAGGCTCAAATTTTAGGGAGGCAAGGATTCTGTGGGCCACCCGAGTCCCAAGCGGGTCGAGGATAGTGCCCTGATGGGGGTTCTCGGGAGGGGGGGGGGTCTCAAAACCTGGATTTTAGTACATTAAAGACTTAATCTTTGAAATTTTTCACGTTTTAATTATTTTTTTTTTTTACATGCTTTCTAAACTATAATGAAGCACCTGTTGAGACGATTTTCAGAAATTGAAAGTAAAGTTACAGTATTAAAATGAATTTAGTAAAAAGACGCAAATAATTTCAGATCAAAGTAAAGCCATTTTCAATTTTCAGAAAACCTAAAATTTTAGTGAGGCATTTGCATCACTTGCCTCAATGGTAGTTACGGCCTTGCAAAAACCTCAAAGAGAAATAAAGTTATAACTAGGAAACCATTTTATAAAAGATATGAATTTTTGAACTTCACCTTAACCTAAAACTCAACAGAGGTCGTCTTTACGTCACTGTGAGTTATGATAAAAGATTTAATTGAAAAAGGTCACGGATACCATTTTTGTAGGGATGTCAAAATATTTATTTTCCTTAGTCGATCATTCGATTGCATTATTCGAACGATAGTCGAATATTCGGAACATTTTCTGAAAATAAAATTTTATTTCAACTTCACTGATACATACTCAAAAACCTTTTTACTTTAATCTATTTAAAATGTAACATCAAAATTAATGCAACGTAAGCGTGGATAGCATGATTTTATGAAATAAATTTAGAAACCTAATTCTCCAAAATTTATTATTTCGCCGTCAATAGAATTCATAAATCGGCCTGTACATGCAGTCATTTTTTATTTAGTAAGCATTAAAAAATTGCCAGCCGATATTTTTTAAAGCTTATTATGAAATAAAGTGGAGGGGGGGGGGGGGCTATCAAAATGTCCTCAAACGGTTTAAATGTAAGCGCATTGTTTTAATAATTATCAAAGTATCAAAACAGGTTTATATCTGCATTTGAGCAAACTTAAAATAACAAAAGATAATTGGTACATGGTATAAGATCAAGTCTGATTAATAATTTTACAAACAAAGCCCATTATATTGGTTGGTAATTTATTACAAAAACAACACAGGCAGTTACTTACAATTAAATCTCGCAGTATTGAAGCACTTATAATTGTTGTACTTTCTATACGTACATGGAAAATGTACCGTTTTTTTGTTGTTGTTGTTGAGGAAAATTATCGGCTGTCTATGAGGAAAGACTGTTTCTCAATTTTTTGATGAGAATTCCATTTCATCTATCACTCATTTATTGCATTTATTTAGTTAAAATAATATTCGAATGTCGTTTCATTATTCGATCGTCGGTCCATTCGACTGATAGCTATACAGTCGAATAGTCGACTATTCGTTGAAATCCCTACATTTTTGCAATGTATGAATTTCTGACCTTGACCTTTTGACCTAAAAATCAATAGGGGTCTTCTTTAAGTCACTGAAGTTAATGATATAAAATTTCATTGAAAAAGCTCAAAAAGATCTAAAGTTATCATCTGGAAACCATCCTTTGAAGTATATAAATTTCTTACTTTGACCTTTGATTTCCTGACCTCAAAATCATTAGGGGGTCTTTCTTACAATATTTAGTTACGATATAAAATTCATTAAAAAAGCTCGGAGAAAACATGAATCCAGAAACTATTGTTTGAATTGCATGAACTTCTGACCTTAACTCTTGACCTCAAAAATCAATATGATTCTTCTTTTGCTGCAAAATTTCATTGCAAAAGCTCAAAGTTTTTTTGAGACATCATCTGGAAAAGATGTTGATGAAATCTCTGCCCATGACATTTTCAGTTCAAAATTAATAGAGGTCTTTTTTAGGCCACAAGGAGTTCTGATATTTAATTTCATTGAAAAAAGCTCATAAAAATCTGAAGTCATAACCTGGAAACTGTTTTTTGCACTAAATGAGTATATGACCTTGATCTTTGGATCTTGAAATTAATAGGGGTCTTCCTTAGAACAGAGGGAGTTGGGACATAATCTCAAAGGCTTTTTTTAGATACATGTACCGCTGGAAACAAAAGTGTTACACGCAGATAGAATGTATAAATTTATGACCTTGACCTTTCGAACCTCAAAATCAATAGGGGTCTTCTTTTGGTCATAGGGAGTTGCGATATAAAATTTCATTGCAAAAGCTCAAATGCTTTTTGAGACATCACCTGGAAATGAAAGTGTTTCACATACACCGAATGTATAACTTATGACCTTGATCTTTGATCTCAAAATCATTAGGGGTCTTCTTTAGACCAAAGGAAGTTGTGATATTAAAGAAGATGGGTGAACAAGGCGGGCGAAGTGCCTATAGTGGGACAAACATGAAGTGAAAAATAAAATCTCAATTATATCAAAATTTTCTTTGATATTTCATCTAACATTAAAGTATACTTTATGTAAAATCTCTACAATTTACAAAAATCTCACAAAGACTGAAATTATTTGCCTACGAAATAGCATACACACATTAAAGAGGACAAAAAGGATCATTTTCTCATACTTCAACAAATTTTTTGGATATGAGTGGGTCTTCGCTCCATTTTTTTGAAAGTTAATCCTAAAAGTTTGCATAAAAATATACATTTTTTGGTTTACAAAAACATGGAGCAAAGACCCACTATACCTTAAAAGTCACTTTTATGACAATGTATTCGCATCTTTCCAAGAAATACTTGAAGTCCATTTATTCAAGGGTCATATCACAAACATGATTTAAATGCCAATATCCACCAGGAGCTGTGTATTGTAGTGGTTAGCGTGTTAGTCTTAAAGCACTATGATACTCCGGATTTTTATTGTTAGGGGGTTCGAATCCCACAAATACCATTTTATTTTTTTAAATATAGGAATATTTTTTCCGAGATCTTTTTATCTTAGAAAAATGATCATAATTTCATAAATTTCAATAATGAGAACTTTACTTTAAATACTTAATTCACAAATTGAATATGATTTTTTAATATCTAAAGCTATAGGCATTCTGCACCCCTTGTTCACCCATCTTCTTTCATTGCAAAAGCTTAAAGAAAGGCTTTTTGAGGTATCATCTGAAAATGAAAGCTCTCTGTAAGCTTTTGTAATGAAACTTAAAGTCATGAATTTCTTTTACTTAAAAAGATCATTACTGACTTTAAGATCAAGAGCTGAAAGGTCAAGGTTAATTTTTTTCTCCCTCTCCATCTACATATTTTTTTCACTTCTTCCACCCTCTTCTTTTTTTCCTTAAGTGGTGGACACAAATTCTCTGAATTAGCTCTATATATTTTCATTTGTGCATCACACTCATGAAAATATAAAAAAAACTCCTGTCCTACTTCCATACTCAACTAAAAAACATTGAGCATCTCCTATTTATTGCCTGTGAACTCGCAACTCTAATATTGTCTATCAATAAACCAATAACAATAAATAATAATTAATAATTTTATTCACCTTATTGCCTTTTCTGGCAGTGGTCAGCTGTTATACATTGATTTTCGAAAACCTAATTCACAGAATATAGAGAAATACGTCAATGAAATGATTTTGAAATATGAGAAAAATAAAAACATTGGATTAATGAATGTTCAACAAATCCTGTCACCAGCTCAGGTGTGACTGACGAGAATTGATCTTTTATCAACTTTTCATTGATTTTGTGGATAAAGATGGAGATAAGAATCAAACTAACACTGAATTATTAATGAAAGAGTTCATACTCAAAATAAAGTTCCAGTTAAATACACACATTAGTACTATACATATGTTTATAACTCTCTGGTCTCATATTAAAAGGAGTGTCTACATCCAAATAAAAAATAAAACAAAATATGTTTGCTCTTTGAAAAGAAAAATAAAACATTCAAACCATGACACTTAACACAAGCATCAAATACATCTTCTATAAAAAGAAATTTAATGACAGTCTACAAGTATTTGACTATATAACACTGAGCCAACAAAATAAATTGATCATTTAAGCTTTGCAAAACATGAGTGAAAAAAAACTTATTCTAATGTTTAACTCTTTAAGAAAAATAATGTTTTCCCCCACTAAAATCACATATCTGGTTATGTTGCATTCATTTATAAATACATGTATATTTTTGATACAGTTACAAGTGTGGTAAAAAGAGTTTTTTTTCACACATCCTGTCTGGAGATAAGAATAAAATTTATTTTGTATGGCTTCTGTTCCTAAATAAATGACAATTTTGTCATCCTGTCATTTTGTAACTCTCACTCTCTCTCTTTCTCTCGCCAACACTACAGACACCCAGACAACCTGAATACTGCTAGCTACCACGTATTATTAACACAACAATGAGATGACAAACTAAATACACCATAATTCATTATAAAGTCTCTTTGGCACTTGCTGAGTTCTAAGTGACGTCATGTTTCCTTGTTCATTGTCTCTCATGTTCTTGAGTATTTGTGACTATTTGGTCCCCTTCTATAAGAAAATAAATCTCAAAATAAGCAATACAAAATTTTCAAAATTTCATGGGCCACAATGCTAATCTGATTTACTAGCTATATATTCCTATGTAAAACTTTGGCCACACTCTACCCACAAAGGTCATGAGTTGAACAAACTTAAATCTACACTACCTTCAGGATGCTTCCATATCAATAAGACACATCATGCCTTCGCTGTTCTTGAGAAGATTTTTAAAAATTTTTCCTATATATTCCTATGTAAAACTTTAATTGTCCATTGTGGTCCTGGTACCCTAACCCCTGGGGTCATGATTCGAATAAACTTGAATCTATACAACTTAGGATGCCTCCAGATCAACATTACTTATCATATGCCTTTGCTGTTCTTGAGAAGATTTTTTTCTGTACATTCTTATGTAAGACTTTGGTTGCCCATTGTCATCCCATCCTACCCCCCTGGTGTTATGATTTTAACAAACTTTAATCTACACCATGTCAAGAAGCTTTTTTGTAAGTTGCAACTCTCCTGGACCAGTGTTTCTTGAGAAGAAATTTTGTAAGATGTTCCTAGGTAAAACTATGATTCCCTATTTTGGCCCCACCCTACCCAAAGGGGCTATGGTTTGAACAAACTTGAATCTACACTATGTCAGGAAGCTTTTACATAAAATCCATATTTTTGGCCCTGTGATTCTTGAAAAGATTTTTATATAACTCCGCCCTTTATTTGCAGTTTCTTGATTTTCTTGGAAAATTGCATTGCCCTTTATTTGTAAAAACTTGAATCCCCTTTATCTGTTTATCATATGACACCTTGTGCCAAGTTTAGTTGAAATTGGTATATTGATTCTGGAGAAGAAGATAAAAATGCGAAAAGCTTACAATGATGATGATAATGCCAACAGACAAATTTTGATCAGAAAAGCTCCTCTGAGCCTGAGCGGTGAGCTAAAAATTATTGAATATTTATTCATTATTTAAACATACTTCATTTAGAATTAAACAACTCAGATAGTATGAAAGAAAAATCACCAGATATATGAAGAGCAATAACTCCAAATAAACACTCTTATAGTGAAGTGCCAAGAACTAGAACATTTGATTTGTAAGAAACATGGTTTGTTCACAACTTTTTTTAAAAAAGTTTTTAACTTCAGGAGAAGAAAACAAAAACACTTTGCTGTAACTGTGAATTAATTATATGTATACTAGACTTTGACCCGTGCGTGCACGGGTTGACATTGTTATGAATGCATCCATGTGCATATCGGACATTTACAAAATAGATACATCGACACATTGATATTGTAAGGTACTTTTGAGATAAACAATGAATGTGAATATAATTCTGGGATTTTTTTGTTTTTGTTTTGTTTTTGTTTGTTTGTTTGTTTGTTTGTTTTTTCAAAATTGTTGCGTAACGGCGTAGCGCAGAATGGCTTTGACCACCAGTTAGCTATAAATCAAGTCATGAGTTAGAATCATGCCGGAGCTTACATAAATTTCACCTTTCCAAACAAATTTAATAAAAGAAATTATGGATATTCATTGAAAATATGACAACAACAAAGAGTTCAGCACTGCTGATACCTATAAAGCATAGTTACCATGACAACCTTGACATATTTAGAAGAACAGGCTGTCCCTTCTATATAACGTACTGAAGATAAATAACAATAATTTACATATTTCATCCACTTTTTTTGAAAGTTAAAGAAATTTTAAGAGGTGAATTTAGATATAAACAATAAAATGCTTTCTTTGATGGTTCACATGGGAAATGCACGGCGCAAGCATTGCAGGGTGTGTTCACCGTATTGTTGACAGACCAGGGTCAGAGGTCATTACATGTATTTACATAACAAAGCTATAAACCTACAATAATGCTATTGATTTCACTGCACTTCTAAGAAATATAATGTGAATTTTTTGCATGGAATCAAATATTTCTTTGCCCTTAGTTTATGTTTCATATTTACCGCGTTATAAATTTCAGCAGTGAAGGTAATAGTAAACATGGCGAACAAATTCAAGTTGCAATCATTTAGACACATTTCAAATTGAAAATATCGGTTATATTGACGTTATTTAATTACTTCGATTTATTTCAAAGTTAAGAAATGAAAATAATGTTCTTGTAATTTTTGGCGGAAAAAGAATGCTCACTTCACTAAGATGTGATTCTAGCTGGAGTTGTAACCCCCCCCCTTCCCCTCAAAAAAGCATAAAAGAAAGGAAGGATAAAATAAAATCGGGTAGTTACATTAATATTGCTCCTACGATCATGAGCTTTTTGCCCCCGTTGAGATGGCCAGAGACATAAATAACATATAATAAATGTGTCTCCGAGATGGCGAATGATTACCCACGTGGCCACAATATCACATTTGTATGGATAAACTCAAAAAGATAATACAAATACGTGTAAATATTTATTGGAAATTTGCTATATATTCTGTTCATATATATTTATGATTTCTTATATATATTTATGATTTCTTATTTTCTTATTTCTTTTTAGAGAAATTATAAATAACAAATATATAATTATCTACTTGGTACTTCTTTTGTCTTCTCTGATTTGAACACCGTGATTTAGCGTGAATGTAATGCGCGCGCGCAAGATTGTAAAATCCAAAAAATCCAGATGATTTCCCGGATTTTTTGTGGAATTTTTGTTGATTATTAATTAGCGAAGGCTAATTGAGAAAAAATAAAAACAAATTGGTAATCTTCAAGTATCAATTATGTTTAAAATATATATAACAAAAGACAGTACTCTTCCGAATCATCGGTATTAAAGGCCAAAAATTCGAGTCTATTATTTTAATATAGTAGTATAGATTTGCTATGAAGGTGTTTTACTGTATTTTGTTTGATAACCATTTATCTCCTAATTTTATATCTGATTTTTCTTTTATCTATTCTTTTGATTGGCTTTCAGTTTTTACCTCTACTTTTTCTTTCTGATGACGGAAATCTCGTTGCATTTTTGCTCGGAGATATCATCAGGACAGGTACAGGTCCTCCCCCCATTAGGTGTGGGTAAACATAGGAACCGGCATCCACCATTGTTCAAGGAGCAGGCATTATTCACTGAAATAATAATTGCAATATTCATTATTCAACATGCTTTTTTTTCAGGAAACATTTTTTGCTAATTATAGAACTGAATTTGATTGTCATAATTCCAAAATCATTCTACGTACAGAGAATATTTATGTTTGAATGGGAGAATGACCACTGCTCACAATATGAAATTTTCCATAAAGTTTAATATATAATAAGAATTTTCTAACGGATGATGTAGAAATAAAACAAATTTAGTACACCACATGGGTCAAAATTTGATATGTATCATTGTTGAAGATGAAGATAATTATCAACCTTAGATATCACTTAGTTAAGTTATCTTTCTTAGCTACAGTTTTGCTCTTTGCTAAAGTTATCTCCCTTAGCTACCGTAACTTTATCTCCCTTAACTGGGGTTATTGTCATAGTTATTTCCCTTGGCTAAAGTTATCTCTCTGAGCTAGAGATATCACTTTCATGTGTTTCAGATAGAATTATTTTCCTTCTTTGTTGAGATTTAGTGCTCTATACAAAATAATGATGATAAATAATTACTTGTGGGACATGACGACACACTGGTGATGCCATACAGCTTGCCATTTCCTCCAACAGGAAGTTCTAGAGAATTTGTAGGTCTCCCCCCACGACTCACCTCCATCACAGAATTCCTACAAGAAATATGTAGAAAGTTTAAAAGAATGGGTGGATTTAAGAGTCCTGAAAAAAAAGTTGTTAAATCGAAGTGTTATAAAATGTTTATTTCTTTCCATAATATAAATCATCAATATCTTAACTGTATTCTTGCTACAGATATAAATTTAAAACACTCTTTTCGAGGGAAAAAAAAATAAATATCGAAGACACTGAAGAAATTTCTTGAATATCAATAGATAATCAGGGTCACACTTTTTTTCATTGTCTCAATACATAGTCAGTGCATGTTTGTCAGCAGTTCTTAAGAAAACTGTAGTGAAATACTGAAAAATAATGTCATATTTTTTAAGGAGATGAGCTGACAAATGTGCACTCACCTACCGTAATTTTAAAACATGTTCAAAACAAACTTCTCGCTTCCATTGTTATGACTGTGTTAACCTTGATTTGACTTTGATTGACCTGTTGAACATTACATCATGTGGTGTCCAGCTGCTAGTGTACTTGTGAAAACAATTACACTGTATTCTTAAACATGACCTCGAACTAAATCTCGCGTGCTTAGTTGGTCTGCCAATTTCAGAATGTTGTTATACTTTTGCATGTCCTCACAATATTTACCAGAGAAATCTTTTAACTTCATATTGGCATCGCTGAAACATACCATATACATATTCAAACTTCTAGAAAGAGAGGAGAGAGAGAGAGAGAGATGTGGACACTGACACCGTTTGATAGCCCCGCCTCCTATGAATTTTGACTGTGACCTAAAAACCACTCCAGGTACATGTCAAATTCCGTACGGCGACACTAATGTGTGATTGGTTCAATTTTGATTCATGGCACCAAGGCATTGCTTTTGCACAAAAGTTCTACCTAATATAATCATGTATGTGTAGATCTTGCTATTGCTTGTCAAATATCTTGGATTCGATTCATTGACAGCTTGGTAGAGGGTTTGCAAAAAGACCCCAATTAGGGTGTTAAGTCCACTCATTCTTTAAAACACTGGTAAATAAAATTATTTGGAGAAATAAGGTTTGATACAGAGGGAATTCTGGCCGAACAAGATTAGCAATGAGGAGCTGTATGAAAGAACAAAAACAGCTGCCATATCCGACCAGATTAAAGAGAAACGATGGAAATGGATTGGCCATGTCCTGAGAATAGAACCATCGGATATACCGAGGGTAGCCTTAAGATGGACTCCACCAGGGAAGCGAAACAGAGAGCGACCAAAGGGGACATGGCGACGGTCGGTAGAAAAAGAAATGAAAGATCAGGGATGGACTTGGGGCATGGTGCAGCAGATGTCAGCGGACAGACAGAGATGGAGGTCCTCGGTGCAGGCCTTATGTGCTCAAAGCACAAAAGGACTAAGTAAGTACAGAGGGAATTCTATTTTCATACATGGTCAAAAGTGGATCCAGAAACCTAGCCAATGTCATTAAATCACAGATTTTAGAGCCACAAATTTCATATTATATAAATAGATCAAAGTTAAGCTTGAACATTTGAGATGGTAAAGGAGACCATTAATCTTCAATAACCATTAACTTACTGAGACCAATCAGTCCAGTACGCACTGTTTCCTTGGTAAGTGATGCCAAAAGGATAAGGGGCGGAGTCAGTAAGAACAACACGCCCCACTCCATCCTCTCTTACACATTCTACTTTTCCTGTACCTGAAACAGATAAAATATATATACTGAGAAATTCCATTATTTATTTTTAATATGACAATCACTTGATTAGCACAGTACATTCCAGTATCCATTTTCCTTCCTAAATTTTCCTAAGAATTTTTGCAAGTGTAATCTGTTTAGGCTTTTCCGGGATTCTTATGCCTTCCCAACTGCTCTAAAGTATTTTTGTAAACTGTGTCTACTGGTTTTGTTAATCCCATTAAACAATCTCACTTAATCAGCCCAAAAACTGTACTGCGGACACCCCCCTTCAATACATGTAAACTACTCACCTGCATCTCCCCAGCACAACTGACTGGAGTAAAGGTCAAGGGTCAAACCGTTAGGCAGACTAAGGTCAGAGTCAATGAATACTTTTCTGTTTGTGCCGTCCATGTCGGCCACTTCTATTTTAGGGGCTCCACGGTTCCAGTCTGTCCAATACATTCTCCTAAAAAATTGGGGAAAATTCTAAATAATTTACCCTTAAAGAACCCCAGAAAGGAATAAATCAAATAGTCAACCATCTAAAACACTGACAAGTAAGCATAATGAAAAAATAAACATAACTTAAATATGAAGAGCAACAACAAGTGAACATTGATTATACATATATGGAACTGTGCAAAACTTTTCTTTTCTTTTGTTTTTATGGCCTTATTTTTTTTAAAATAAAGTTTATTTTTGTAAAAGCTCCCTCAGCATTATATTCCTTTGGTTATGCTGTTCAAAGTAACTGACCCTCTCTGTGGGTTGACCACAATGGCTCTTGGATTGACCAGCTCCTTATTAAAGAGCCTCTTTCTGGACGTTCCGTTTAGCCTGGACACCTCGATACAGTCCATCTCCGAGTCTGTCCAGTACATATTTCGCGACACCCAGTCTATGGAGAGACCTTCGGGGGACTTCAGACCTTTGACAGAAAACAAGCAGCAAAATTAAGTCACAGTGAGGAGACTGAGAAAATTATGCAATTTTAATTAGATATTTAGCCACATGGGTCCAACTGATATTTTTAGGCTGTGTCTTGTAAATACAGAAGAGGATCATTTTTTCACAATTTACAGGTTTCAATAACTATGCTCCTATCATAACATTATACCTGTACTTTTGGATTTCTCACAAAGAAAAATTTTTAAACACTTGCCTGATACCAGGACGTTAAGATTGGAACCGTTTCCAGAAGCATGGTAAATATTTCCTCCTACCACATCAGTATAAAGTATGCTGCCATCAGCACAGTCAGCATCCACGGCAACAATCAGCTGATCTGTAACAGCCAATCAAATCTCTTCTTACAAATCATGTTCAGACAGTGGCAATGACTCTTAATTATACATAATTTATACAATGAATTTTTTTCTTTATATCAACATACATGTGTGTTCAAGATGAATTTCAAAATATTAAACTTAATCAAAAGTGTTTGCATATATACTGTACATGTATTAAAATTAATCATGAACATAAGCAAAACTGAAATATCCACATATTCAAATTGTTTAAATACACCTCACTAGGGAAGTATATTTTAGAGGCATACTTTGCTGGAACTATTGATGTACCTAATGGGATTATTATACAACTGAACTTCAGATTCTAGAACTTCAATGTACTGCATCTCTAATATCATGGATATGTCAAAGTGATTTAGAAGTCCCTTCCTCCTTAACTTAATGTATTTTAACACTTCAAAGTTTCTAACCCTTGGATATCTTACTAGCTGGTAAGGAAAAATTTATCTAGAGACTTACTAGGCTGGTAGAGAATAATTTATCTAGAGACCAGCTTTGCTGGGAGAGAATTGCTTATTTCCATACTTACCAGGTTCGTAAAGAATAAGTTGGCCTGGTCCATCATCTTGGTCCATATTGACACGACTGATTGTTTTACCCTGAGACAGTAATAGATAGTCCTCAGAGCTTGTCCCTAAATCACAAGATAAAAACAATACAGAGGACTGATAATCTGTCCCAAAATTAATTTACAGCAATTTGTGTTACTGAAATCTTTTCATACTTCTTTTTTTGTTGTAACTATATGGTCAAAACATTCAGAGACCTTTTCTGAGGCCACAAAAAAAAAAAATCAAAACACTTAAGCATCTGGCAAAATCATAAACACGTGCAAAATATTCTTCCGTATTGAAACTTGTAAACCTTTATCTTTCTATCTGAACTGTAGTCTATAGAAGACTTACTATAACAAAGTTTGCCATCTCCTCTGAAGCCAGAGTTACATACACACATATACATGTCTCCAGTAGGAACACAGTTGGCATTGGGGTCACACACTGTAGGATTTCTCTGGCAATTGTGACCTGAAATAAAATAGAACATTAATATGGAATTCTGTTAAGTTTCTTCAACTTCTCAACTTAACAATAGAAACATCAAATATCGTATAAGCAGAATTTTTAGAAAGGATTTAATTTTGGCATTACAGTGTAGACTTGTTATTACGGTGACGGTTTCATAAGATAGAACGCTTATTACATTGTAAATTCAAAGCACAAAACCATTTCTTAACAAATCTATACAAAATAGAACTGTTTATTACGATGTCCTAAAATGCCAGGACTCGGCATTACGATGTAAAAATTCTGTCCAAAATTTTTTTCACTCCGTTTATTCAGTGTTTATCGACGGTAGACACTTAAGGAGACGCTAAATAAACATTGGAACACCTGTGCTCTGGCAGAGTGTTAACTTGCAGGGCCGTTAGGTGATAAGTGACGCTTGTCTCCACACACCTTGACTGTTCTAGCGAGGTCAGGAGAATTGGAGACGTCAAAGCCATTGTTAAACAATTAAACTGTTTATTTATAAATGTAGTCTCTAGTTTATCCATCTCTGTAAAGTTTATTTTATTTTTTTTTACTATGGTTAATAAGTAAAATTAATTTATTAAATAAAAGGTTACATTTAATCGTATGCATGTATGTTAAATACGTAATGTGTAATTTCGTTTGCAGTTAAACTGCGGGAATGGACAGCTTGGGTATCAAACATAATTTTGGCAAAATTTGAACTCCACTAATGTTTTAACAGCTTGGATAGTGGCTTGGACTACCTCAGGTGTCAGCAGAAATACAAATTGATAATTGCTGAACTGCTAATTGAACTCTGTTCAGTAATTTAAAAATTAAAATTTATTTTGACATTTGTGTTCTCAAATCCTGTCCATGAATATGCCTATCATACTGCCCACTTTCATCAGCTGTTCACTGCAGCTCTAAGCTCATTGAACACCCAAAACCGCCCAGTGATGTATTGTTGTTAATGTAGTAACGATACGAAGACAATGAAAATTTTACGAACGCATTATCTAAGACAGAAACAAAAGTAAAAGGAAATGGCTGCAGATAAATGAAGACTGCCAAAGTTTTATAAAGATTGTGCACATTTCTTTTAAAATGAAGGAAATAGAAGAAATAGCATCATGAAGATATCTATTCAAGATAAGTTATTAATAAATTATATGTATATAGCGTTTTAATGAAGAATTTGAACAGAAGAAGGAAACAAAAGGAGAACTACCTCCTAATACAACAACAAGCTTTCAAAACGATGTTTTACTGGATTTTATTGGGAACTTTTATTACGTTGCCCTCGGTATTACGATATTTTACCGTAACAAAATGAGCATCGTAATATCGAGTCTGCACTGTATTAGCGAGGGTTTTGATATCACTAAAATTGAATATCGCTAACAATTCATTCCGTATTGATGGATATAACTTTTTTTCTGGAGAATTACTAAAATTACTTCTCGCTAAAAATATATATCGGTACCAATATTTTTGGATAAATCGCTAAATTTGCGTCTCGCTAAAAATTCCACTTATATGGTAAACATTTCTTGACATCACAATTTTTAAATCATGACTGTAAATATATTCTATATTAAAGTGTTTTCCATTTGTGAATTAAATAATTTAAAATCCGATTCACTATAACATTTATCTTAATCATCAAGATGCTTATGAGTGTGCAATATACAAGAATCTGCATGAATGAGTCTCAAAAATCAGGCCCCTGGAGATGTTTGATGACATACCACTAGGGATACAGGTTTTTCCATCACCATCATAGCCTGGCCTACAGCGACACCTGTAGGAATCCACAGAGAGGTTGTACAGACACTCAGCAAAAGGGGAGCAGTTATTTATCTGGTTGCAGGAAATCTCTGAAATAAAAATTATTATGCACGCACATTGCTTGAAATTCTCCAAAATGTTATTTTCAAAAATAATTCTTCCCCCTGTTTATTAACTAATTGAACCTAGTCAATTAAGCTGACATACCCTCTCGTTGACAGTATTTCCCATCACCCCGGTATCCCTGGTTACAGCGACAGGCATACCTATTGGTATACCTAGGATCAGGGAGACACTGGGCGTTCACATCACAATCATTATAAACTTCACAACCCTCAGGCTCACAAGTCATACCATTCCCTACAGATAAAAAAGGCAAGCATTTAGGCGACCCTCTTTGAGTTTAATTCTCAATTTGTTGAGTTTTACCACATTCCTGCAGACTCTGAGTTATATTGAGTCTCCTGTACATAAACTATATATTTATGATATTATCAAAATAGGCTTTTTTCATGCAGTATTTGAAAAACATGATATTTTTAAGCCTTATGTATTTATTTTAAGCATGAATTTTAACCTGTAAATCCATTTCTGCACAGACACAGATGCCTCAGTTCAAATGGATCATACATGCAGTCTGCATTGGGATCACAGATTTGTTCATAACGACAGTCCACCTGAGTGCAATTAAATCCGTCACCACGGTAATCAGATCGACATTGGCAGGTGTAGTTTTGTTTTGACACATCAAACAAACACTCGGCATTCTCACTACAACGTCTGCAAATGTCTGGAACCTCTAAAAAAAATTCATTGTTCTATGTAAGGAATTTCTACATGTATTTCGAAGAAACTGAATAACAACCATTGATTAGGAAATCTTTATTTTAAATCTTTAAAAATAAATTATGACTACTGGGTAGTTCTAATTTCATGAAGGTCATACAGTGATAACTTGCTTTTAATAACCTTGAACCATAAGTGTGATTCAGTGCATACCATATGGAAAAATCAATTTTTAATGCACCTTCAAAGTATAAATAATTACCAATTGTTGAACAGTATCTCCCATCTCCAGTAAAGCCTGGGTTACACTGGCAGACATGAGTAAACGTGTTGATGTTGAAGACACACGTAGCGTTGATGTGACACCTCTCACACTGGCTGCCACTAATGGTCTCACAGACGAGTCCATCCCCACTGAACCCCTCCCCACACTCACACTTGTACCGCTGCTCGTTGTAATCGTAGACACACTCGGCATCCTGATGGCAGACCTCGGGGGCCTCGTTACACTCAAATACTGTAATCAAAAGAAAGCACACTCAAAAACTGTAATAAAAAGACAAAAGGGGACCTCATTAATTTAACTACTGTGATCATAAGCATGTACTGTGATCAAAAGGCACAACGGGTTTTATTACATTGATATAAGCAAAACCACAGGTCTGCTTTTTGTGTATTTTAAAAGATTCCATAATATACTGTAAACCAACTTTTATTTGCATGCAAGAAATATCTACAAGTTTCACGACCCCTACTTTTAGTTGCAAATATTGATCACCGTGAACTAATTACTTTGCTTTGTATTTGTAGAGAATGTTTTCTCAGTCGCGAAAATTAATTGTTGCGGATTGATTTCGATCTGATGATTCGTATATAAAGATGACGTGAATCATAGTTGGTTTACAGTATGTTATTCTTTCTGATTTTAAAAATGAGTGATTTTATAAAATAAACTCAAGGTGCATATTAAAGAGTATATGTGCGTGCATAAAAATCAGAAAATCAATGTGTTAGTATACCATGAAAAATTTATATACTGGTAATCCCATGTCATAGTATTGCAAGTGAAGTGAAAAAAAAAATTCTCAATTTTCATTAATATTTACAGTCCTCTACCAGTTAAAGATTTAACATTCATTTTATAAATCATTTTCCTCATACTGTTTTATTAATGAGAGAGGAAGCCATGAACACACCTAGAGCAGAACAATTTTTTCCATCGCCATAGAAACCAGCACTACATTCACACATGGGTTGGCCAATGTCGCTGTTGAAAACACAGCGGGCATTGGGATGGCAAACGTCATCACCACATAATCTCACCTCTCCTGAAAATCAGAAACATTGAACAAATCAGAGTACATTGTGGCAGTATAAAGATGTTAATGAGACTAATATACTTCTGGTTAGATTATTTTTTAAACCAATCAAGTAACCAAGAAATGTCCACATTCTTGAAACTTCAAACTCTCAAAGTTTTTCTTTGAAGAATCAAGAATCACCTGTATTTACTATCCACGTCTTTGTGAATTTTCATACAAGAATTAATCTTGCTTTTTATAGATCTTTGAAATAGACAGAAAAATATTTGCTTTTTCTTACGTTGACACTGTAGACCAGTTCCTGTGAAACCAAAGCGACAGGTGCACTCAAACGAGCCAGGTAGGTTGTAACAGTCAGCGTTCACGTCACAGGGGTTATCTGTGCATTCATTCACATCTGGAATGGAAATCAATATATACTAATATAGTAAAAGAGATCTGAATCATATACATCTTCGTTAAAAAAAAATTTAGTGTTTACAAATGTGAAACAGTATCTAGTCATGATCAAAATATAGTAATGATAGTAGCAGTATATATCTTATGATTCTAAGATTATTTAGGAAATGAAACCAAATTTATGTAATCATAGTTATTTTAGGAGACAATTTATTATGACAGGATCTAGTTATACTGAAATTAGAAAATCCAGGAGCTTATAAGAGGCTATACGTAAACTTCTGAACTTTGGATACCTTGACAGTCTGTTCCATCCCCAAGAAATCCTGTGCGACACTGACACCTAAATTCAGTTCCTTCTGGAATACACTCAGCAGATGGGTGACATCTAGCGGCGCCCTCTAAGCATGGATCAAGACCTGGTGGAAATTATGGAGAGTAACACAGTGTAACAACTCAGATTGTATAATGTGGTTTATTTAATTTTCAAAGAAATCAAATTTTGTGGTTTTGGCATAATATATTTCACTGATATTTACTTCATGGACAGCTAGCCATCCTATTCTATAATTAGCAAAATTTGTGGTTTAATTGGTCTGCCCAACAATGAACATGATGAAAAGAAGTGACAAGAACTGTACAGCATTTAAGTATGAATATGATTATCTGTATGAAGAAATGAATGACTATTTCTTGGGTCAGTAAAAGAGACAACTGTATTTCTGCATCTTTTTTCCTTATCTTTGATTGAAATTCAAAAACAAATTATTATGTGTACTTTTTTTTCAAAACAATAATCTGATTTGAGTCCACAAGAGGAGCACAATAAGAAGTACCTATTCGGCTGACTCCGACTTTCGCCGTCATGGTGTAGCGGACTATATTCTGATTCTCCTCATAACTGAGGTAATTCCTGCTGGCCGTCAACCTCAGGACTTCCGGCTGAGGATCAGTGTTGTATTTACATTCCTCGTACCTGATTGTCTGATCCAGTTCATACTGACGAGTTATTCCGTTCACCACATAACGCCCTGTAGATACGGACTGCCAGGTTCCTGTAAAGTACAAAGTCTCATGAATAATGTATAGTACATGTAAATAGTCTTGTAAAAATTGTTATGTTCATGTACAAAGTCAAATACAGTTAGTGAGAACAAAGTCTGATGAAATTAATCTAGTACACAGTCTTATCAAAATAAGAACACATACAAAGTGTAAGAATGATTACAAAGTAAAAATTCTTCTGATAATCTTTAAATACAAAGTCTGACCAAGTCCCACAAATGAAAGTTTTTCCTTGCAAAAAAAAAATGATTTGAAATGTATGTCAATGTACATATAATGCATGAAGAATAGAGACTTTAGAATGATTTATTAATATGAAAAACAAATCAGAAATATTAAGATCATTTAGTAACTACAGTGTATATGATACCTGATCCAACTCGTTCATACTCCTCAATGTAGTCACTGAGGGTGATAGAAGAATTGACGGGGACTGCTGGGACGCTGCCCTGGATTTCTGTCTCGAGTCTCATGTGACCCTGAGCATCGTGACCGAAGAATTTTTGAATGATCTGGACCTGTTCTCCTGTAGAGTGCCGAATTACTGCTGTACGATTCAGAACTCCGCCTAAGAAAGACACAAATTATGTTAAAGATATCACTTGTATAAAATGTCATATAACACAGAGACTGTGTTAAAAATCATATAAATTTTTTACAATTCTGGTTGCAGGGCTAGAAAACTTGGATGATCTCACTTTTGATTTCAGTCTCACTTTTCCATTATATACCAGTACATGTATTCCTTTTGTAAAAGTGAAACTGAGATCAAAAGTAAGCTCATTTAAGTTTTATGGCCCCAGAGCTTGGTCTTGCTTAAAATATAGGACAATAGTAGAGATTAGTAGGCTGGGTAATGTCACGATGTCAAAAAGGTAGTCAACATTACCTGTCAACATATATCCATTTTTGGCGTCTGGATGTTGAGTCTGCGCAAACATCCATCCCATGATTCCTCCGATGGTAACCAACGATCGCAGATTTCCCTCCAAATCTGTGGGAATGCGGCTAATGGCAGTGTAGGCTCTCCCGTCACGCGTCACAATGTATACGTGCATGTCTAGATTAGCTACAGGGTTTCCGTTCAATTCTCCATAAACCTTTCCATTCAATCGCTGGGGCACTCCTACAAAACAGTCGTAATAAGCATGGATGGGAACCTATCATTCTCAATACATTTATGATTATTTCTAAATACAAATACTTTATGTATGTCATAGTATTGTACAGAAAATATGACTGATTTATCACTAATGCCCTTAGTAAAATGTACTAAAAACATCTTCTAATTTTTGACCCTCTTTGTATACAATATACATGTACGTTTGAAAATCCTTTCAACATCATTAACATCTGCCATGGACACTAAATTTTTTAATGTACATTTAGGTAAAAAATACATATCTTAACAATAATACTTCAGATAAATCAGAGTCAAAGAGCTTGCAATTTTCTTTTCCCAAACCAAATAAAGACTGCTTGGGAACACTGACCCATCTCTAGACAGCTGATTCCGTTGCCATAGTAATTATCCAAACACTTGCAGCAGTAGCCGAGGGGGTAGTCCACACACTGGGCATTCAGGTCACACTGTTTGGTTCCCTCTGTACAGGTCTCTGTGGTCGGCTCAAAAATCACGACTTAAATAAAGGAGAAAGGTAATCAAAAACCCTAACAGAAGAGGTTATACTCATTCTAGAGATATTAAAATTTTTATTGATACAAAATCAAACTGCACCTTAAAATTTCAGGATTCGGTTATGTGATATATATGTATGTGTATTATTAAAATATCATTACTGTAATTAGATATAAAAAATGCACAAAATGGTTCTGCATATAGTATTCTACACAGAAATCTTTGAGTGAAATTTCTGAAATATAAACAGGTTTATTGAATAATCATATCAGTATTTTTTTTTAAAGTTTATTTTGTGCATAAAAAAAGTTTGTCATGTGATTTAAAGAATCCAAAAAAAAAAAAAAAAAAAAAAATAATAATGACACCCTGCTTCCAAAATCTAATTTTTCCGGGATAAGTAGAAATGGTTATTAGTCTAAGATAGAGAGAAGTTATATTCCCCCCCCCCCCCCCCGGCCCAAAAAATCCTTATATAAACTATATACCTCCAGTGTCTCCTGTTCCAAATGAAGGCTCACCAATCCCCCCACCATTCAACTTTCCAATGTTGAACATCCACTGGCCAGGTACATTAACATTTGAAGCACTACAATGTACAAACTTTAGTTATCAATCAGTCTCGTTTCATTTCATGTGCAATGTGTCATTAATTCTGCTTCTAGCTTAGGCTCATTAAAGCATAAGTAATTATAATACTGTACTACTAATTCTCCACCTGTCATTCCTTTTCAAGGAAAATTGGGACAAATGGTCATAAGATTTTTTTAAACCTGCAAATTACAGAATTTTATTTCATATAGACTCATCTTCATTGTTTAAAAGGCTCTTATGAGAATGAAGTTATTCAAACACTCAGATACATGTATCAAACACCTCTGAAAATTGTAACAACCCTCAATTTCTTTCATACAATGTACTTCCTTGGTCAAAAGTTTACTTGGTTTTCAAGACATTGAATATACTTATTCATGATGACAAAACTTCAGCTTTTAAAATTTTGTATCCAACAAGTAGGTTTAGAGTCTTTGCACTTGCCTAGCGAACAGGAAGGCCTCGCTGGTCCCACTGTACTTGAGCTTATAATGTTCCTTACTGTCTCCAGCATCAAACCCTGCCTGAGCCGGGGGATCCGGAATAATGTCGTTGAATTTCCCCTCACTTGTAATCCAGTTGATTCCTCCATCCAGGTAGTTATAAATAGCAAAGGTCTCTGATCCATTAGTCACCAGAACAATTTGAAACGTGTTGAACTGTAAAATGATAAATTAATTAATATACTGGCCTTGCATAATCAACAGCTTTTGTCTATAGAATCAACTTGATTTTTTATTCTAAACTTCCTTTACCTAATTGTCAGAACAATGCATTAAATAGTTTTCTTTTTTCCTTTTTTTTTTTTTTTTAAATTAAACACTGCCTCTCTCTGTAGATCACTCTCTACATTAGAATTTTTTGTCAGGATAAGTTTATATACAAAAGGCACTACTGCTATCTTAAATTTTCCCAAGCTTGGGTAGCTAAAGAACCTGAGAGAAACTTGAATTAAACAGACTTTTATTACAAAAAAAAACTCCCATCATATGCTCATTAAAACTCTGACCATTTTATTGGACATGACAGTTATGGTGTGAGGATGTGAGTTATCTCCCTTAGAATCTCCCGTTAACACGGTTAACAGGCTATAGATGCGATAATGGCCAGGCATAACAAGATCTGTGTAGTAATTGTTTCCACTGAGTATACACCTCATCCTAATAGTGACCACATGTCAAGAACGAAAAAAAAAAAATCCTCCAGATGTATCCCCAGACTTCAACAAAATTGTAAGATAATCTTTTGAAATAGTTATCATGGTTATGGTCTGGATCTTTTCTTTATATGTTTTCACTGGTCTATTACCACAGTTTATATAATAAAGCATTCAAATTATTGTTTATTATTGTTTATATATCTTGAAATCAAGAAAAGGGGGAAAACAAAGGAGATATTAAAAAAGAAGATTCAAGTAGTTGCATATTCATTTTGAATGAATTTAAAAAAAACTTTATATTTAGGACAACAGGAAAAAGTTTAATCAAATATTTAAAGCATTGGGTGATTATTTTATATATTTTGGATCCTAGAAAATCATAAATCAAATGGGTGTTCATACAAATTTAATACTGCATGTTAGTGTTTGTTGAAATTTGTATACATAATTAGTGGCTTCTGACATGTTAATAAATGAAAAAAAATATCTTAAAATACTTATATGTATTTACAATTTTTAACATCCTTAACACCTAAATCTTATTTTTTTTTTAGTTCATTTTCTTGTGCACCATGTTTCATAAACATATCAAATATTAGTCATGTTCTATAATGAACACAGATGTGGAATGTAAATACAATATATTCCATTCAAAAGAACTTTGTATATTTCATTCTTTTGACATTTGAAGAAATAAAAGAACCTTACACTGCATCAAGTGTTGTTATTGGTACATGTAAGTGACACATTTTTTGCTCAGAGCCAACACAAATTTCTAATATTTCTCTATCATGAACGATGAAAGAATTTTAAGTTGACCTTCCTATGTGACCTAATGGCTTGACATAATAACTCTGTATCACAACACTTACTACAATATATACAAAGTACAAATCACTTAAAATTTCTCATAAAGTGTGTTTGTGAACTCCAATAACAATTGAACACAGAAGCATTGTTTGTTTGGTCACATTACTTGGAAACCAGAGGTAAATATTTCATTTATTAAATAACTGTGTAAAACAATGAACTGTGTATGTATAGTTATAATTCATCTAAATGGTTTATTATTGAACTCCCTTCTGTGAGTCATTTGTTTACTGAATTTCAGTAGCTTAGTTGACTACGTAAGTTAATACTGGTGCTTTATCTGATTTTATAAACTGATTCAAACAATCAGGACTCTGTGCAGTAAATTTAGTGAGTTGTGGATGTCTACATCTGGAAATTAACCCGATTCTGTGATCTAATGAAAACACAGACTAGCCAGGCTCAGCATACACCATACTTGCAAACTAAATTTTAATAACATACAATAACTGAAAACATGTTAACATGGTTAAGGAGGCTCTGAACTGATTATGGAAAAATAAAGGGACTTATAAATTGACAAATTGATGGATTTAAATCATTGTTGCTTACTTGCTTCATTAAAATACATGAAATTGAAGTATTCAAGTCCTTTATCATGGTCTAATATGATTCTATGAATACTTTAATTTATTGCAAATTGTGTCATTCACTGTAGATTTCTGTTCATCTGAGGGCAGATCACTTTGAATATAAAGCTACCATGGAATTAGAGATCTTTAGTGAGAAATGTTTAGGGCTTCCTAAACTGTTTTTTTATATATTAAAATTTGTCTTATTTTTTATTCATTTTCTAGATAAATTCCCTACCCATATATCTGAGCTAGTCTAACCTTTGTGTTATTTTTTTCATAAAATCCAACATCCTCCCATGTAGCAATGAACAGATTTGTGGCCTTGAACTCCTTGTAAGTTTGGAAATGACCTTTGACATCTGATGATGCTCTTTGTAATAAATTTTCATCCTGTGTTTGTCTGACCAAATAAAAAATAAACATTTCAGTCAATAATTAACCTACTGAAAATGGTTAGTCATGCTTAAATGTTTACAGAGTAGACATGATAAAGTATCAAAGTTGTAAGTATCCAACATGTCCAATGCACTCAACAATTTACAAGAAAGACAAGATTTGTTCTATCACTGATCACATGTGGCAGAAATTTTACTGAAGTCTATGAATTCAACCTTTTACGCTGAGTCTTAGTTTGAGTATATACACATTAAGAGTCCCGATATTTAAAAAAAAATTTAAAATGGTGGATAAAGAATATAAACAAAGGAGAAATCTCAGGTATCCACATATACCTGGTACAACAATTTGTATTGTCTCAATAAAGATTCAATTTAAAAGAGAATCTATCTTCAGAAATGTTGAAGTTACAGCAAAAATTAATATAAAACAAACAAACATTTCACACACTACATTGATTCCTTGTTTTCCCACATGATCAAGATCTCTCTCTCTCAGGGTGAAAACAAAAAAAATGTACATGTAAATATCAATTTAACATAAATCATTCACCCTCTTGGAAACCAATTTACTCCAAAAGCATGTTCATTAACTTAAAAAGTGGCTGTACCTATGTGGATTTTAAACTTCAGAGATCTATACAAGCATACCTGTAATATACGCTTCCCGCTGCAGATGTATCTATGTCTGCGAGAAACACAGCAATTAATTTGTAATCTGAGGGTAGTGTAAGAGTGGGCTGGTAAACCGGCACCTCAAAGTCAAAGGATATATGTCCATTACTGTTGATCTGGAAAAAAAAAAAAACAACATGATGTACATTTTATAGTGTACAACGTATTTGTTAATGTGATATAAACTATTTCAAAAGTTTGAAATTTGTAATCATCCAACATTCAAGGAAAACCACTCATCTCGTAATGTTTGGTGCATTCAAATCAACTTCAGTCTAAAATAATTAATTTTAGTTTAAAATCATATTTTATTAAATATATACTAGTGTATTATAAATTGAACAAGATTTCCAACAGGCTAAATCTATTGACCTTTCTTCTAATTTCAATTTTATGAAATATGCATATTATCATGTTTTCTTTTTATGTTATAAAAACCAAACTGAAAGTTCAGAACAATCAAGAGTTAGAGACATGATGGAAGCAAGTTATTTTTAAAATAATTTGTGGACATTATTAAAGGTCATTATTTTGGGATATTTCTCCCTGATGTTGTTTTTCTTCAGTAACTTTTTCAGGTTATTTCTACCTTACTTTTCATGATTTTAAACCTACTGGTATCTGAAAAGCTTTATTCCTCATGCTATACTTGGGGTAATCATATTTAGTAAACAGAAAAGGTTGATCACTGAAACATTCGTGAAATACAATTATTTTTCCCTGACGAATAAATCTAGCTGTTACAATATTTTGATAAATTTCATACTATCTGCTCAGGAGATATCAAGTCTGTCACCTTTATCCAGACAAGTACATATATTTACAACTTTCTCAGCCTTACATCATCTTTACTCAGCAGCAAACTCAAAATATTGATGTTTTTTGACAAAATTTATAGGCATTCTAGTTTTTAAAAACAGTTCATCTGATTCCAGATGCAATGTTTATAAATTTTTTGGATGATTGCACATTCTTTGTATTAATTATAAATAAGAAAATTCTTTATGAAAAATCCAGAGTGTTCCAAATATATCAACAGGGCGTGTAAATTCAAAGCAAGAAAAAAAAAAAGTTGAGAAAATGAGTTGAAGTCTCATCTGTTTATGGATTATTTTAGGGTAAAAGGCATATACATGCTCAAAAAGGTTTGTTATGATTAATTTGGTAGTTATTTTCAGTGCACTTAGATTATTTTCATGAAGTCTGATTTTTTTCGTCACCCAGGTTTTGTGTCAAGAGCTCACTGCACTCATTATAGGTCTAATGATAAAATGCTAAGCAGTTGCATTGGACCTTGAAAACTGTATAATATAATTGGCACTGTTAGTGTTCAGATGAATAATGTAAAAATTTCAAGCTAACTGGACTTGTCATTGACATTTTGGTTTAGGCATACATGTTAACTCTACCACTTTAGGCAGAAGTCTACCGCTTTTTTACTCCATCTCCCACCTACTATTTTAATTAAACAATCTACCACTCTTGTACAAAATCCATTTTTGGTTGGCTTGGGTTGCTATTTCTAAAGAAATTAATTCTGTCATAAAATCTTTCTGGTTTTGAAAGATATTGCATGATTTGAACTGAGAGCATATAAACCCTTTTTTTGTACCGAGGTTAACAAAGATTTCAAGTACATGTTTTGACAATGACTGTGCAAACATCTCTATGATTACATTAGTTGTGATAAGTTATGTCAACATTGCTGCCAAGAAAAAAAGGAAATATAGCATCGTAGAATCTGGATGAAAACTTTTGAATTTGTTCATAAAAGTGATGAAGGGAATCAGCATTCTAGCATCTCTATTTTTGCTTTTGGTCATCGCGAGAAATTCAATCTCTTTTAACGAAATACAAACTAGTTTTAGATCTGAATTGTATAATGACATCATTTGCTCTATTTGGCAGTTATTGGTTCTAGGCTAGGTATGAACTGTTTACAAAAATCAATCTTCAAAAGGCTAAAGTAACCACTCAAAGCTACAGTAATGAATATGAAAAATATTTATTTGCATAACTTATGGAAATGGTGTTTTTATCTAATGCATTGCAGTTGATATTTCAATTGATTTAAATTACTGCAGTGGTCATTTGTGGCAATATTTGCATACATATCTCTAAGCCTAAAACATCGCATGCAATGCTACCTCTTTTGGAGGTCTGAATGTCTCATTTTTTGCTAGCCCTCTTGAGCCCTAGCAACTATGTTGGTCTTTTTTACTGGAATACACATGCTCAACTTCACAGAATAGCATTCTTGGAATGCTACTGTAGATAAATTGTACCTTGTCAATTTCGTTTCATCATCTGAAAATACACGATCTGAAATTTCCTGTTTTGTTGTCTAACCTGTACATAAATGTAGACTGTAGAGATCAGTTATTTTCTAAAATTATAATAAATATCTAGCTTTTCTTAACTACCTTCCTGGATCTTTCCAGCAAGCTCAGAAAAGCAATCTCAGATATGTTTTCCAAGCTTGCTGGAAATGGTCAAGAAGATGCGATTATACTACACTGGAATATTTTAAATTGAGACACCCCCAACACCACCCAAGTGCACCACTGTGCCATCCTATTAATAATTAATCGATTCAGCAAATTAAACTAATGGTTAAGATATCTACTTCTGTGTTTTATGATGGCTACAGGCTAGCTCACCTTTCTTTTTAGATGGTTTAGGACATTGCTACTGCCGAGGTAAAAGATTAATCTGTTATAATCCGAGATTCCTCTAACTCTAACCCCTGCTTTTATTTTTTGACATGTGCACATGTCAAAATAGAATAGAATAGGATTTATTACCAAATCAGGGCCCAATGGGCATAAACATATAACATGTATAATTACAGAAAAGATAATGGACAGAATACAACATATAATGAAGAGCAATTCTTCCCATTTAGTACATTGGTGGTGTTTTGAGTTTCACATGTAGACATAGGTTGTCTTGATTTAAGATATATCTGTACTCTTAATTGATACAACTTAATGTGCAATGATGTGCATTACTATTACTAATATTATACATATAACTAAACATGTCAAAATATAAAAGCAGGGGTTAGAGTCAGAGGAATCTCGGATTAAATCTGTTAGTATATCAGATAATAAGCTGAGTATAAACACTCTTTTCAATCTATATGTATATTCCAAATCATATTATTCGCAATTTCATCAGGGACCTATATACTAACATTTCATGAATTAACTGAGATTTACCAAATTTACAAACCCCGCCTTCTATACCGGATATAATATTTGAAATCCAAAATGGAAACCGCTCAAAGTACGATACACGTTCCCGGATGCTTTGTATAAAATCGCTTGAATCAACATAATTACTCTAAGCGCCGTGACACCGGATTAGTCTTCAATTCATTAAATTTAAATAAACATGACAACTTATATCGTATCTAATGAGAGATTATGGAACCCCTGGGTGTCACAAGCTTTTTCGACGTAAGCTCAACATTATTATGTATATCAGAAACTTGACAACTTTGTTCAGCAAAAGTAATAAAATATATATACATTTACAAGTATATAGGTTTTGAACTATCATTATAAGGTCAAAAACGTTTTAGGGATCATCAGTTAAATCTGGGAGCATCAAAGCTACGAAAACGATCGAATGGATATTAAACTGTTAAAAGAGAGAGGGGTAGGCTATATACGTAATCATCAGGCTAATTATATAACTCTGGCTTCAGGATTATTCCTGGCAAAGAAAAGGCTACTTTTATAACACCAGTGAGATTAATAAAGATCATAAAAACACCAATACTTACAAAAAGGCTGTTATATCTCTGGTCATAGAAGACAACAGGCGTATCTAACATTATCTCATTAGAGCTCACATCATCGCTACGTTCCAACACTTCATCGCCAAATTGCTGGCCATAAGAATAGAACAAATCGTAAGGTATTCCTACACAGAAACTATTACACAGCATCAGCAATACCACTACCCCAAGTCCAGACACCCGAGCCTCCATTCTTGCCCACTTGACTGAACACTAATCCAGTGATGGCAAAACCATTAACTCTAATCCCCCCTACAGCGCCAAGGATAATATCAGACCCCAGAAGAATTTTGTGAACTGAGGCGGGTCCTGATTGGTGGAAGATAAGAGTACAGATTATCCTGGGAGAGAAAGATAACAGGCATCAGCTTCTGACCCGATTTTTAACGCTGATTACGTTCCATCACTTCTCAAAACTCACAACTCAAAACGCCGCGCAAAGCCACGCGGGGGTGCTTGTTGAATGAAGCACAATTGACCATTGTGTTGTTCGCGCATATTTCAAGGTATTAAAAACATATTTTTCGTTATTTGAGTAAGAAGCCATTTGGGAGGGAAGTCAGGAATTCCGTTAATTTTTCAACTGTTACAATTAATTTCAGGAAACTTTATTTACTGTTTGCGTCTTCGGCATTCTTTTGAATTAAAAGGATAAAAATTAATTATTTTTTTTTGCGTAGGACCAAAAAAATCAAGATATTAATTGATTAATGACAGATTGATAATATGTTCATGCATATATTAACAGTAATTTTTGATTTTTATATGCATATTTGATTAATATAATTTAAAGATTAATCTATTTCAACTAGGAGTTCCTGTGGTCAGGTTAAACATGTAAATGGTTTTCATCTGCCACTTCAAATCCTACAGTGGTCAGCTGGATTGGTCATTAAAGTAACAAAAAAAAAAAAAAAAAAAAAAAAAAATAATAAATAAATAAAAAAAAAATAAAAAAAAAAATATACATATAAATTTCAGGGATCGAGTAGAAAATTACCTATCAAATCGGTACTATCTTTTTTGACAGTTTTTGCTCGTCTGTCATATACTGAATTATTTGAGTACATAGTTTCTACCCAGGACAATAAAATGAATTAAAAAAGAATAAGATACGTGTCCCTGTTAATTACGCACAATTTCTGAAAGTAAGAGCTACGTGATTTAATTTAGTCATTTTCCCCGACGCCTACATTCAACTTTCAAAATCAGAGGTCTTGAAACAAGAAATCATCGTGCAATTTATCAAACCACCATCCAAAACTTTAAAATTTGCACAATTTTTTTTTTTTTACTCAACAATTGAAACAAGCCAAGATTCAATGTTACAATTAAGATGGTCAGAATATTTTTCAGGTCATCAGAAAAATAAAACATTTTTCATGGCATCAAAACAATACATATTGAAATAAATCTTTTAATTGATTCTCCGAGAAAATCCTTAACATGCAGTCAGTCCTTTTCTCGCTCATATATATATAAAAAAAACTTCTTCAGTTTTGTCTACCCCCTTTAAATTCTGTCAAAAGATTTGGGGGGGGGGGTTAGATTTTTTTTCAAATCCTATGATTTACATGTGGAATCTCCAAAGTTTCTGCTGATCATTAATAAGTAGCTTTCCTTGTTAGATCTGTCATGAACATGTCTCCAGTCTTGGTATGACTATTATCTAATACCAAGTACATATGTAAATTTCTTTTATTCATGTCTCTGCTTATACCTTAATTCTCCCCCCTTTCATGTGTTCTGTTCGTTTACTCTTGGCACACAGACACTTATTTCGGTAATATATATTTTTTTAACCCATAGTATATTATATGGGTTAAAAAAATTATTGCTGAAACAAGTGCCTGTGTTTGGGCATGATAATTTCTTCTAAGCTTTGCGATAAATTACCAGTGCAGTGATAACATATAACTACCTTTGCATTTTTATTTTTGATTTTTTCAGTTCTTTATGGGTTTGTTCTATTATTATCAAAATTTAGATTGCTTCGAGAAAACCTAGATCCATCCAAGGTATTTTCATAAATATCAAACTAGAAAATGAGATCCGCCCATCAAGGAAAATTCATAGAGCAAATTTATCTATTCATGTAAAAGGGATTAAAAATAATAAAATTACACCATATTATTTAAAAGCTCCAGAATCCTACAGTGCATGGCCAGTTACATTTGTAGGAGCAAGTAAAAATTGGTGAGTCAGGCATACGCCCCTTTCTGGCAACGAATGACGTCACATCAGCCGAAAATGGCGGACACAGACTTGAATGTTGACAGCCTCATTTCCCGACTTCTTGAAGGTATTTCGCCATTATTTGTATGTTTTTAACTGTGTTAGCTACTGGAAATATAAACAAAGGATTTTCATAATTTTTTACAATTTTATACGAGTGCCTTATCACACAACTATGTTGGGAAATTTATAGATAAACAAAACTTCATAAACTTCTTCCGGTTGTTACAAATTCGGTTTCTCTTTATAATATAATTGTTAGATATTAACCAGAGCCCTAGGGTTTATTTCCAAACGAAATTGAACTTATTTTTGTTTTCTGGTCATTACAACACCCGAATAAAGAATGACTCGTTATGTTCAGTATATTTCAAGGGGGGGGGGGTCTATGTTGCAGAAAGGATCTTGCAAAGATTGTTTGCTTTCTCATTTGCATTCACAAAGCTGTATTCATGAATGATAGGGATATGATATTGCTGCTACACAATCAAAGAAAGAGCTTAATATATACTAAGAAGGAAGAAATGTACCTGATTGGAATTCAGGACATCTCAAATGCAGCAGTTGCTATTCATACCTGTCTGCTTATGGTATATTCTCTTTATAGAAGTGGACAGGCTTTCACACATCCATGGATGTAGGCGAAAGCCTGTCCACTTCTCTAAAGAGGATACTTATGGTAATGAACCAGTCTGACAGCTACAGTAAGACATAACAGGGTTATCTTTTTAGTTTTCTGCAAATGTTTATAAGTATTTGTTGCATTAAAAAACCAATTTTTTCATAAACATTTCTGTTAAAAATAAAGGTTTTTGTTGCGGATACACAACTGGGATTCCACATAATTTTTTTGGGCATCCATCAAATTGAGCTGGCGGGATTCAACCTTCTCAAATTCTTGAGTCCTGGGACTATAGAAAATCCCAGTGAGACCTTTAAGTTAGTTTTTAAATAAGCATATTTGCATTATGATGCATGTAATAATAGTAATATCAGACCCCAGAAGAACAGTGGAACACCTTGAAAAACTTCCTAGCTCAGATACCAATATTTTTAATTAACATCCCTAAAAACTTTCCTGTTGAAAGCCACCTATCCCCAGTGACCAATGTTTTTGTTACAATTGTAACAATGCCATTGAAGATGAAGAGCTTTTTTCTTATTTGTTAATGTTTGCAAAGAATATTATACACCAGGGTTTGTCCCTAAGAATTGAAATAGCAGGGGACATTAAAAAAGTAGAAGGGGGTCTGGGTTTCTATTTCTTACAGGGGGTTGAGGGGTAATATCAGAATAACCAGGGGATTATGTCATTATAGGCTGGAAATTCCCCAGTCCAGGTCTTAGGGGCAACCCTGTACCCTGAGAGAAAAGTATATATCCTGACCATATGAAATTCCTGTAGACTAGAGATACCATTGATAATATATAGGAAACTTAACTACTCTTTTCCAGAAAAGATGTTTGTTTATCATGTTTATTTGTATTACAAAATGCACTACATCTAGGCATGGAGATTAATAATAGACTAAACCATTACTGTATGCATAACACTTAAATGTCATAATTCACCATATCCATTTTTTTTACAATTACTTGTATAATATTGTACATATATTGATATAAACATGATTAAAGACTTTTACACTTTTGCAAGGTTGTCCCTAAGATCTAGGGGCCGGGTAATTCCTCCACCTATAATGACATAATCCCCCGGTGATTGTGGTATTCCCCCTCAACCCCCTGTTAGTGGAGGAACCCCAGACCCCCTTCTACTTTTTTAATGTCCCCTGCTATTTCAATTCTTAGAGACAACCCTGCTTTTGTCAATAAAATCGTTTCTTATATTCTTAACATAATGTTTCTGTGATTCAGTGCGAGGATGTAGACCTGGTAAAACTGTTCAGATGACAGATGCTGAAGTAAGGGGCCTGTGTCTAAAATCCCGAGAAATCTTCCTCAGTCAACCTATCTTACTGGAGCTAGAGGCACCTCTTAAAATCTGTGGTATGTAAGAGAGAAAGGTATTTGTATGCATAGGGGCTAGAATGCAAGTTACTAATCACGCTAATGCTATACACTCTTTTTGAACTAATTCTTGCCAAGATAAAGACATTGTGTGTGGAACATAGTGATTTGTCGCCATTCAAATTTCAATTCAAATTAAAAAATGTATGCAATCACTACCAGGTTTATGTTTGACTTGTATGTATACAGTTAAGTTGGCACCTTTGTAGAAAAATATAGCTGCATTGTGCTATATATAAAGAATTATACATCTTTCATTGTGAAGTTATTGTTATCATTATAATCATGTTCAACATATAAGGTAATTTTCAAAAAGACACACTTAGATAGCAGGATTAAACGTAAACTAGTCTACTTGTATACAATATTAGAACACAATGTTTATTATTTTTAAAATGTTTTATTGGTCTGTTTTTCCAGGTGATATCCACGGTCAGTATACAGATCTCCTCCGTCTATTTGAATATGGAGGGTTTCCCCCGGAGTCTAACTACCTTTTTCTGGGGGATTATGTGGACAGAGGGAAGCAGTCACTAGAAACAATCTGTCTTCTTTTAGCCTACAAAATCAAATACCCAGAAAACTTCTTCCTGTTGAGAGGGAATCATGAAAATGCCAGCATTAACCGAATTTATGGATTTTATGATGAATGTAAGTTTCATACTAAGTCTGTGTCTGTAATCTGAAGTAAACATAATTTTGTATTAAGCATGGTTTATCAAAGATGTTTAAGTGCAATGATTCTTGTGATTTTTTCCCTGTCAAATGAAATCTTACTGTTTCTCCTTTCACGTTTGATAGGTAGCTAAGTATTTGTAGTATTTCATTTTAATGAGAGCAATGTATTTCACATTCACAAATCTTTCAGGTAAGAGAAGATTCAACGTTAAGTTATGGAAGACATTTACAGATTGTTTTAACTGTTTACCGATTGCTGCCATCATAGATGAAAAAATATTTTGTTGTCATGGAGGTAAGGAGCGAAAAACTCATATATATTTGTTTTTTTAGCTCACCTTGATGAAGTAAGATGAGCTTTTAGCCTTATGCTAAACCCCTGGCGTTGGTGTTAGCATCAGCGTCCCAGTTTAAGTTTTAGGAGCATGCAAGTCCATTTCCAAGTAACTATAAGCCCTACCTGGACCAAACTTGCATGGATGATGCATCTAGGGATGTACACTAACCAACCTGCTTCAGATGCTGGACCTGACCTACATTTTCCAGATGGGTGAATTATAGCCATATTTGAACCAATTTAGCGTGGATGATGTATCTAGGGATGGACTCTTCTAGACTTGCTTCAGACTCTTCTAGACTTGCTTCAGACTCTTCTAGACTTGCTTCAGATGCTGAGTCTGACCTACATTCTCCAGGGTAATGTTTTTGGCATAGCTCTATAATTTTATGGCCTGTTATGATTAAACTTGCATCTAAGGATGGTCACTTCCAGACTTGTTCCATATGTTGGAACTGACCGACATTTTCTTGATTAGTGAACAGGTTTTAGTTTTTGGAGCAGATCCATTTCCAAGTAGTTATTAGTCCTACTTAAACCAAACTTGCATTGGAATGCAAACTAACTAATAAAAAATATAATGTGAGGTTTGCTTTACTTTATATAGATAACATTCTTTGAGGTGAGCTTTGTAATCTTTGGTTACACATGTTCTTGAAACTGGAGTTTCTCTCAAAATATTTTAAAATTGAGTAATCCAGAACTCTGGCCTTATTATGTGCATGTATATGCCACAAATAATTGCTCCATACAAAATCTTAAAATTATACATTAACCAAGGCTTTTAGAAGAATAAATATGAGCCTCCAACACCCTAAAATGTCTTGGACATAGAGATATTTATTTTTAGTTTTGTTCCCTTTATTTATGTCTTTAATTATTATTATTTATTTGCACAGGCTTGTCTCCAGACCTTCAATCCATGGAACAAATCCGGAGGATCATGAGACCCACAGATGTTCCAGACACAGGTAAACTCATTCAATAATCAGGTCAGGGAATATCTAAATAAAAAAAAATAAAATCCGTACTTTTCTTTGTGTGTGTGTGTGTATTTTTCTTGGAGAAAGTTTTATAGCATAATGAAATTAAAAGTTTCTAATTTTACGTTGTAAAATCTGAATTAATACTTTTGGTTTGCTGTGTTATCTTATGTGGTCTGACCCTGACAAAGAGGTTCAGGACTGAAAAATCTGCATTGATATTTTAGGTTTACTATGTGACCTTCTGTGGTCTGACCCAGACAAAGAGGTTCAGGACTGAAAAATCTGCATTGATATTTTAGGTTTACTATGTGGCCTTCTGTGGTCTGACCCAGACAAAGAGGTTCAGGACTGAAAAATCTGCATTGATATTTTAGGTTTACTATGTGACCTTCTGTGGTCTGACCCTGACAAAGAGGTTCAAGGCTGGGGAGAAAATGACAGGGGCGTGTCTTTCACATTTGGTGCAGATGTTGTTAGCAAATTCTTAAATCGTCATGACCTAGATCTTATATGTCGTGCCCATCAGGTAAGTTAAGGATGGAGGGAACAGATATCTGCTTCCTCAAAGTTCCAGTTTAATTAGTAAATGAGCAGTTAATTTGAAAAGGTGGAAAGCCAGGTCAGGTTGAAATTTTAATTAGACTTTGATAAATTGTCAGTCATTTAAAGTAAATCACTGTAATAATCAAACAGAGATTTTTGAATAATTGGTAAAGGCTTTGTCTTATTATTAGCATGTAAAAAATAGTAAAACTACATAATAAAACAATATTTTTTGACACATAACTAATCAATGAAGTTTTTGTTAACAGGTAGTTGAAGATGGGTATGAGTTCTTTGCCAAAAGACAATTAGTAACGCTATTTTCAGCTCCAAATTACTGCGGGGAATTCGACAATGCTGGGGGGATGATGTCAGTTGACGAGACTCTAATGTGTTCATTTCAGGTGAGCTGATTTAAGGACATAATTCAAGCTAAGGCAGTATTAAAAAAAAAAATGTTCTAATTGTCAGTTTCATATAGATATAAGGTGTGTCTCCAGCATATAACTCTGACATTTTTATGTTACTTCTCTGTGTCTTGTTCAAACGAAATAATATCAGAAAAGTGAAAAGTTAGTTTGAAAAAAGGTACAGTAATTCATATACATGTATCCAGTAATCAGAAGTTGTCCTGAGCAGAAAATTTAGGATTTAAAAACAAGCAAAAGTCCAAATTTATTCATTATGCATTACAATATCAAATGCTGTTTCATTTTTGGGGAGGTTTTAAGAAGGAAAAGACATGCTGAATATCAAAACTGTTTATTTAAAACTTATTGTAGCCAAAGATATATTTATTTTAGTATAAAATTGAGGGGATTCAATATTAAGAATGATGTTTGTATAGCAAGACACATTATCCCCTCTCTATTTGATATTGTTGAAGAAAACAACCTTGTATTGATTAATCAATTAATATTTACATGTATTTCATTTTTTTTTTGTTTTCTAGATCTTAAAGCCTTCAGAAAAGAAAGCAAAATACCAATATGGTGGACTAAACTCAGGGCGACCAGTAACACCACCTAGAGGGCCACAGCAGCAGCAGAAAAAGTGAAAGTAGGAAATAAAAATAAACCAGGGAGAGACTACAAAAAGAAACAAAAAAATCACTTTAGCCAACATATCATCACAGGACAATTTAACACAGTCCAGAATCATCCTAAATGGACTTTAGACAAACAAGCCAGTAGATTATAGAGTATTCTGTGGTCTCAGGTTCTCTTTAGGTATGCTCTGGTCGTGTAGGAGAAGAAGCATCCCAGGGAAGATGGAGTTTGGAAGGAAGTGAGGATTGAATGTGATCAATTTTTGGAAGGAGCAATTTCAAACTTACACAATATAGGATGAAATCAGAGCTTTATCATTTTATTTGTACATTGTGTATCTTTTATAATGAGGCAATATCAAATTTTTTATCCATGTTCCAATGGGTTTCTGATTGCATACATATTAAATGAACATGAATAAGGTTTAGAGCCCTTGTAGTGCATATTCCCTTGCTGTAGACATAAATATAAACAAGACTGTAGAAATGTCGGAATACTGTAGAAATACCAGAATTTCTGTGTAAACCGTAAATCAAGCTAAACTGTGATAATTTGTTGTATTTCAACAGAAAGAGTATGCCACAAAACCACAGTTAAAAATTAATGATAAATAGGACAGAATTTTACAAATCTCTTATATGATAAGTCCCTGAAAGTGTGTGTGTAGTTTTATGTTTGTGTGGAGTGCTTGTTCTAAACATGAATTATGGGATAAATGTCAGTGTTTATATCTTTGAGATATTGTCATTGTGTACTTGTTTGTAAAATTGTGTGGAAAACTGGAACTGAAATAATAACTAAAAAATAAAAAAAAGAAAAGAAAAAAAGAAAATCAAAATTTTATAAATTAAGAAAGAGTCAAGTGCCAAGGAGGTGAAGCACTTTTTAACTCAATTCTATGTAAGCACAATAACTATATTTTGTAATTGGAAAGACATGCAACACAGACAATGTTTTTTGGTTATCTGTATGGTATGATTATGTAGAAATTTGTGTATTGGCCATAATATGTGTTTAAGGTTCATTTACCTTCTGATAAGGGAGGTAACTCTCACTGGCATTAATGACTATTATTCCCTTAAAAAATTGTCAAGTTAAAAGGCAATTTCTGATAAATTTTGCAGCGTTAGGTATGCTGTAATTGTTCATCTTTCAATTATAATTAAGATTTCTTTTGGGAAAATCATCATTAAAACAAAATTTTATGTAAATGAACAGGGGGGATGATAACCTGAATTTTTTACCCTCAAAATAAGACATGTTTGTGGTAGGATACACTGGAAGTTTTAACATGTAACTGTGTATGATATATATGTAAGCGTTACATTACCTGTTCTTTATGTTAATCATGAAAGACATAATTTAATGAGACAAAAATATATATATATGTGGTTGATGTGCATTGATGAAATAGTTCATGCACTAGAAAATAGAAAGTAACTGCATGGGTGTTCCTTTAACGCAAAAGTAAGGGTTGTATAACATTTTTTGCCATAAATCGAATCATGCATACAATTTCATATCTACTAACAAAAATCAGATAGTGAAGTCTGTATGGGTAGCATTTGTTTACTGTGCTTTGTTTTGTGTTTTGTGGCCGAGTTGTATCCTTTCCGTGTTTACGTTGTCCTTCTCTATACCATATTGTATTCTCTAAACTTTGTGTTACGTGGAAGTCTATGCAATGGCATGCTGCAATAAAAAGACACCAAGAAGGAAACCTAACTCTGTGCTATTCTGATTTTGTATTGGTGGAGTGAGACATAATCTGTCAATATATCTAGTGATCTTTTATGATGTGAATGGGAATTTTTAAGATTTAATCCGAATCATTAAGTTGTGTGTGTATAAAACTGAAATAGATCTGCTGTTGATTAGGATAGCCAAATTTTATATATATCTGGTTTGTTGTTTTTAATTTACGTCACCATAAACTCTGATCAATGAACAATATTGCATATTAAACTATTTCTATATTTTGTTAGTTTTCTTGGTTTGTTCATGTAATGAGTAGTAGTATTATCATAGCCCCAGAATTCTCGTGTGATCAAATCTGAATGAACACTTCATGGAATTTATATATATTCAAATGATATAGCATCTTGTTTCATTTTATCACTTATCAATATTTATTTTTATTCATACATTGATTCGATACATCATTTAAATTGAAATAAAAGTCTCACAACAGATTTTGCAAATTCACACATGGCAAAGTAAAAACTAAACTTTATGAAAACATGATGATACCTTGTCAATTGTCAATTTTTATAGCATCAACGTTCCTTGTTGATGTAATAATATACCAGTATCACCTGCAGATGGTGTTGATGTCTTGATTTGTTACCAAAGAGTGTGTTGTACATATGAATACTTTCTTAAATGGAGAAACAGGCTATTGACAAATAAGTAGATGATATAAGGGTATCATCGATCTTGTACACTTTGCAAATTCTATGTTTGATACAATGATGTTGTTTACAAATGCAACCTGTATTGCTGACTGATGTATTTAATAAAAAATTAGGCCAGCAATTTTATTAGCTCACCTCGACAAAGTCGAGATGAGCTTATGCTATACCCCCGGCGTCGGCATCCCAGTTAAAGTTTTAGGAGCAAGTCTATTCCCAAGTAATTATAAGCCCTTCCTGGACTAAACTTGCATGGATGATGCAACTAGGGATGGACATTCCCAGACTTGCTTCCGATGCTGGATCTGACCTACATTTTCCAGATGAGTGACCAGGTTAGAGTTTTTGGAGCAGGTCCATTCCCAAGTAATTATAAGCCCTTCCTCGACTAAACTTGCACGGATGATGCATCTAGGGATGGACACTCCCAGACTTGCTTCGGATGCTGGATCTGACCTACATTTTCCAGATGAGTGACCAGGTTAAAGTTTTTGGAGCAGGTCCATTCCCTAGTAACTATAAGCCCTACCTGGACCAAACTTGCATGGATGATGTATCTAGGGATGGGCACTACCAGACTTGCTTCGGATGCTGGATCTGACCTACATTTTCCAAATGAGTAACCATGACAATGTGTTAGCTCTATAATTATATGGCCTGTTATGATTTAACTTGCATAGATGGTGCATTCCAGACTTGCTTAGGATGTAGGAAATGAAAGACATTTTCTTGATTAGTGACCAGGTTAAAGTTTTTGGAACGGGTCAATTCCTAACGAACTATAAGACCTTCTTACACAGAACTTGCATGAATATTGTTTTCAGGATGCACACTAACTATAAAGAAAGTATGAGATTTGCATTACTTTTACTGATAACATTCGTCGAGGTGAGCTTCGTAATCTTTGATTACCTATGTTCTACGGATTACTCTGATTTATTTCAGAGGCCTGCTTTATACTCTCTGTTTGTAATTTTTAATTGGACTTTTGAGCATGATTATCTTTACATTTCATTATAATATGATAGGTGGTGTCCTTTGGATATGCAATTTTCATTCAGGTGGGCAAAGTAATGGGGGCCAAAATTTAAAATTCTTAAACAGAATGATTTTCTTTCCAGACAAAATTTATGCTTCATTAAATTCCTTAGTTTCAGGCTGGTAATAATCATTTGAGAATTTTTTGCTCAATTTGATTCAATTATCATTTATGTCCTATTGTTGCTTCCTAAGTAGTTACCCAAGTACAAAGGAGAATAATTTTTGAGGCGAACACTTACGTGGAGTAATACTGTATTATGACAGTGTATCTAGCTATTTCTTGCTGTTTTTTAACAAATCTGTATAAACATTTATTTTTTATATAAATACGGACGTGTCTGTATTACAATTTTAATCGAGCATAATACATATTCCATTTGTAACATTGCCTTTTGTGCATCTTGCTCTCACTAAATGTAATTTTGTAGTGTCTCCTAACATTTATGATTTACTTTGCCTAAATGTTACATTATTTACAATAAGTGCACAAAACTTATCATATGTTCAAGAAGTGGTGTAAATCAGACGTGGATACTTAAACTTTAAGGAACTTTTAGACAATTTGAAATCACCAAATTTTACCAAAATCAATAACATCAAAACGTACGGCTTTTCAACACTTTACAGTGGCGGATTTAAGGGGGGGGGGCGCCCCCGCCCCCCCCCCCCCCCAAAATTTTTTTTTTCAAAGTTAGCGTAAATCATAGTTTCGTCGAGAAAATGTAAAATTTTCTACTTGGTAGACCTCATTTTTACCCTACAAAATCTCTAGGAGCTAGGATCTCTAGGACCCCCACCAGGGCTTGGCCCTGGACCCACAGGGGGCCTCAAGGCGGCCCCCAGACCCCCTGCCTACTTTTTGCGCCCCCTCTAACTTCAAATCCTGGATCCGCGCCTGCTTTATACAACCATTCCCCGCTATAAATGAAAGTCCAGGCATTTTTGACATCATAGACAGCTGCTTTTTCAATAACAATGGAACTCATAAATTTACTCAACTTGTCCTTGGTCATTGGTCATAAACATTATGATTGTACACACAAGTACTCTGAAGTTGATATTTTAAAAAATGCCCGAGTTTCTAATAGGGCTGTGTCAATATATTGATTATAATCAATACGTATCGAATATTCTGGAATGTATCGTATCGAAAAATAACTTCCAATACGTATCGTGCAGGCAGTTTTTCTTATAATTCTGTGAAAAAGTTGGGAATTTCAGTCACCAAAGGTTATTTTTAACTGTTTTGAATTAAAAATGATCAGTAGTGAAATAAACATTAAGGAGATAGCACATCTTAAATAACTATTACAAAATACATAAACTATATTTTAACATGTTAGTTTTACAATCATTAAAAGTTTTAATTTGAAGTGTTCTTTGTAAAGACAGTGAGACATGAACTTCCAATTTGGTAATAAAACACCCAGTTTTATCAAATCTATGGATTAAAATTAATGATGTACAAAACTTTTTTGATTGACTTGTTAAAGAATCCAATACATCGCATATCGCTTTATAAAATATCGTATCGTATCGTATCGAAATATTTTGCTCAATACACAGCCCTAGTTTCTAATGACATTATAAATGTAGTTTTTGGTGATCAAATCTTCCAACAATCTGTTGGAATTGCCATGGGTACTAATTGCGCCCCGTCATTAGCAGACCTATTTTTGTATTCATATGAAGCAGAAATTATTCAAAAACTTCTACATGAAAAGAAGTATCTTGTGGTCTTGATAAATCGACGACGTTTTATCAATTAACAATATTCATTTTCATTCTTACGTTGATTCGGTACTAGTATATCCCTTTGAGCTCGAAATAAAAGATACTACAGAATCTGACACATCTGTTACATATTTGGATATTTTACTAGAAAAAGACATTAATGGTAATCTAACTACCAAACTTTATGATAAACGTGATTACTTCAACTTTACTATCGTCAACTTCTCTTATTTATGTAGCTATATACCATTATCAATTGCATATGAAGTTTATGTCCCCCAGTTAATTCGATACGCAAGAGTATGCTCTACGTACGAACAATTTCTAAGACGAGGCAATCTATTGACAAATAAGTTGATGAAACAAGAATATCAACAGTCTCGTTTAAATTCAACATTTTGCAAATTCTATAGTTGATACAATGACCGTGTCAGCACATACAGTCTATCATTAGTAGAATGCTGATTGACGTTTTTCATACAAATTGTTAGGCCATTATTTTCACACTGAATTGTCAACAGATGTTTGCCCGATCATGACAAAGAGCACACGACGGGTGTGCCCGGTTGACAGGGCATGCTTACTCCTTCATGGCACCTGATCTCATCTCTGGTGTTTTTTAGAGGTCCGTGTTTGCTCTGTTCACAATTTGTATTGTTTCAATGGATCTTTGAGGTCGATTACTGTTAGTTATCTTCAAATTTCATGCAATATATTATATATCAAGTCTGTGTATCTAGCCATTATACAATATATCGATACAAAGTGAACTATGAATTCATTGATTATATACTGATTCTCTGTTCTATAAAAGCATTTAATTACATGTATGTGTAATTTAATTATTATATATCATGGCCCATGAGGCTGTAGTTTGGAAAATATCTATTATTCTAGCATCATATATTTCTGTTCAGAGCTTATTATCATCAAACTTGAAGCTAAGGTCAAATGAACATACATGTACATGTAGTAAAAAAATTCATCTTTTAGAAGAAAACTTTAAACGTTCAGGACCGTTGGCACAAAGCATCCTTAATTAAAGGGGATTCCAAATTGTTCAAACGAAAGACAAAGCCTCCTTCCAATTAAGGGGAGATAATCAAGAAAAGGCAAAAAATACGCTATAGGGTCATTAAGAAATCATCTTCTAAATAACCACTTATGTAAATGCTTCCTGAGGTAGTGTAGATTCTAAAGTGTTCAAATCATGGTCCCTGAGGTCAGATGAGGCCACAATATGGGTCCAAAGTTTCGCATGAAACTCTATAAGAAAAATCTTTAAAGATTCTTCCAAAGAAAGACACTAGAAGAAATACTTTGCAAACATTTATACCAAGTTGTTTAATCCCCCCCCCCCCCCCCCCCATTATGGACCCCAGGTTAGAGATGGCTAATTCAGGATCAAATTTTACATAATGCATGTATACATGAAAGAAGTTTCTTCTCCGTAACTGCAAGACCATGCAAGTCAGATTGATATTGAAGCATTCCAGTGTGTGAATTCAGAGACCCTTAGAGTCAGGGTGCATGGGCAATATATTTCATGGGAATATAAAAATCTTTTGAAGAACAAATAGACTAAAATAACTCAGGTGAGCGTTGGGGCTCATGAGCCTCTTGTTTAACGTCAGTATACTAGACATTGAAAGATTTCAAGTTTTCCAATCTTAAGAAGCTGTTTTGATATTATAGACAACTTTTTCTTCAATAAAAATGGAAGTCGGAAATTTTCGTATCGTGTGATTGGTCATCAACAAAGTTACTTTGTCAAAAATCACTCTGATTCTACACATAAGATAATACTCCGAAGTTGATATTAAAAGGATACTGGAGTTCCTCATAGACAGCATTTTTGTAGAGTTCGGAGACCAGGTTTTCCAACAAACTGTTGGATTTTCGGGCACTTATTTAGCTCCTTTATTAGAGGACCTGTTTTTATATTCCTATGAAGCAGAATTTATTCAAAAACTTCTACATGAGAAAAAGAAAACACTTGCTGCGGCTTTTAACTCAACATTTAGATACATCAACGACGTATTATCAATTAACAATTATCAGATTATATTTACTTCCATTCATATGTCGACTCAATATATCCCAGTGATCGTGAGATAAAAGACACCACAGAGTCGACCACATCTGTTTCATATTTGGATGTTTTACTGACTATAGACGATAAAAGCAAACTAACAACTAAATTGTATGACAAACGAGACGACCTTAGCTTTTCCATCGTCAACTTTCCTTATTTATGTAGTAATAACCCACTATCACCTCCACATGGTGTTAACATCTCCCAACTTATTCGATATTCACGAGCATGCTTCGAGTACGATCAATTTTTAAACCAATGCAGACTACTGACATATAAGTTGATGTTACAGGGATTTCAACCTCGTTTAAAGTCAGCATTTCGTAAATTCTATGGTCATTATAATGACATTTTTAACAAATATACCCTGTCATTGGGCCGTATGTAGGCTGACGTGTTTGACCTTTGTTTTTGTACTGAATTTGACTACGGAATGTCCGTCTATCTGATCTATTACATACATATATCTGTATACATACATATGTGACCGGTCAACAGGGGATGCTTACTCCTCCTGGTCACCTGATCCCACCTCTGGAATTTCCAGGGGTCCGTGTTTTATGCCCTGCTCACAATGACCTTGTCATTTGAAACCTACAAAGTTGTGAGAGGGTTTCCGAACTGGAGGACCTCTATCTGACAACTCTTTTTCTAAATCCTGTAGCTATTTTATCGTGTATATGTCTTTGTTAATCGTAACAACGTGTATAATTATACATTTATATACGAAATAAACTCATTGAATTCTATCACTATTCATTGTGGCAGTGTACTGAAGTATTAATGTATGTTTATAAATCTCGTACTGTAAATAATTTCTCTTACCTCTTTATTTCTTTAAACCTATAGTTTATCTTGGATGAATAATTTATAGACACGTGTAACTCGGCATAGATAAAATATAAATATTTTGATTCGAGGCAAGCTATATTTCTTCGTAGTCTAAAAATAAAATCTATAAAGCAAGTGATATGAATTCACAGATGAACAAAAAGAAAAGTTATTAAGCTTTATATAATCAAAAATATCTATTTCATCTGAAACATGTTTTATAAAATTCCTTTTCAATATTGGAATATTAATCTACATGTCTAGAGCGCGTAAATCAACGTCTTGAAATGATCAGAAAATTGAAAAATTCATGAGCCTTAATTTACCTTCGACTATCTAAGATTTCATTCAATACATCATCCAAAATCTGAGAAACATTTGACTGTTATATATTTTAAGTGTGGCTTAACAAATTACTTATGTTAAACTCTTTCTTATCACATAAATATAATTCAAATAAGTAATAATAAGTCAGTGATAACAGCACTTGAATACGTGACAATCAATTTAAAGGTCGGACAAAGTTCAGAAAAATGAATCAATGATGAAATCGCTCGTCACTTCTATATTTAAACATAACATCATATACCTTTAAATGCTTCATCCAATAAAATCCGCTTTCTCGATCACATGATTCTGTAATTTATGCACGAATGTAGTCATTCCTGAGCGAGGTGTGTATAGAGAAAGACGTGAAATGGATATTCTGTGTGCTCTTGTTAACTTTTTAATGCTCTGACACTGTTTTTTGGAGAAATTGTAATTCAGTATGACGAATGGTTTCGATACCTTTGTATACGACTTGAACTACGATTTTTTCCGGATCTGTTAAGGATTTAGAAGGAAAATATCCTAAAAAATTAAATACTTTTAAAAGTTTGACATTTAAAAAAATCGCGAATTTTGTTAATTTACTGTAAATTAGATAGTCAGCTCAGAATATTGAGGGAAGGTATCCATCAACGATATACGTGTCGTGTTTGTAAACACGAGTGTAACTTCTAACGTCATGAATATTAATCCAAGAACCACGCAGAATACCCAAAACGTCTACCACGATAAAAAAAAAAAATCATGAATGATGCCGAGAAATGAGGAAGAGCACATTTGGACTTGACAACTTTGTTTCTCAGATTGAGATTCTGGGATCCGCCCACTTATCGTATATCTGAGGACGTCAAAGTTCAAGTGTACTATGAGTCACACTGTCACAACACCAGTACACAACAGCTCACTAAACACTGACAATAATCAATACACAAATGAATTTATTTATTACTATAAAACAGGAAGATAACATATATAATTTCACTTATTGCTACACAGATATCAAAATAAGTCACACATCATCAAACCTTTCTTTGCTAACAGCAATCACATAAGTAAGATATTTTCTCTTACCAGAGACTTTAATATTAAACATTATATATTAAATACTATTACAATTTTTTATATATGAACACGTAAATATGATTTAATCACAATAATTTACATATATTTGACTAGCTGATTGAAAAATTGCACACTAAAAAGAAACCAGAGGAACAATATTTGAGAAAAAAGATGACGACTATGGAACTGAACGTTGACAACCTGATCAGCCGACTTCTTGAAGGTATGTAATTTTTGTCGCTTAAAAATACTCTAATGTTCTCATTTTTCAATATCTTATTAAGTATGCAATTTTAATAAATAATTATAAAGTATACTAGTTTTTCCTTTGTTGAAAGTATGTATAATATACATAATCTCTGTGCCAATTTTACGTCGTCTTCTTTCATCTGAAGTAACCCGAATAATCTTTGTACGATATATCTAACTTGCTTTCCCAAAAAGTAAAGCGCGGGAAATATGATATAACATGAGAAAGCTTAAAGTTCCTGTAGTGTTTCGAGCATAAAGAACTGTGAATCACACTGAGATACCACCCATAAAAGATTAGGCTATTGGTCTCAGTCATATTTATCTAAAACACTTAGTAAAACAGACTTATTGTTGATTGAGAGGCAGGATAATTAAGAAAAAAAAATATTTTTCTTGTAAAAATTTCTAACAACTAATAATTATGATGACGGGAAGACCATTTATAAAAAGATATTTTTTTGTTTGTATTTTCATGGCGTAAACTAATTTTAACACGCCTTTCAAAAAGTTGTCTTTATAAAAGTACATTTGAATATTCAAATCGATCACTGCTTTTAGTAAATACATTTATAATCTCTAAAAATGGTTAAGAAAACTGAGTCAGATTATAGTTGAATTCAGCATGTAAGATAGCGTTTATATATACGATGTATTAATTTCAGTTAGAGGATCCAAACCTGGCAAACCTGTTAAAATGACTGAGGGGGAAATCCGAGGACTATGTCTGAAATCCAGAGAAATTTTCCTCAGTCAACCCATTTTACTGGAGATTGAGGCCCCAGTTAAAGTCTGTGGTAAGTCCAAGAAAAATGTCAGCAAAAAGTAATTTGTACTCAATCAAAATAATTTTCTGAAATTAATGAAATAATCACATGCTAAATTTGCAAACAAATGGCACGAAAGTTTTATTTTGATCGTTCCTTTCGATTTCAGGTGATATCCACGGTCAGTACACAGATCTTCTCCGTCTATTTGAGTGTGGGGGGTTTCCCCCGGAGTCAAACTACCTTTTCCTGGGGGATTATGTGGACCGAGGGAAGCAGTCACTAGAAACAATCTGTCTTCTTTTAGCCTACAAAATTAAATACCCAGAAAACTTCTTCCTGTTAAGAGGGAATCATGAATGTGCCAGTGTTAATGTTCTGTATGGATTTCATGATGAATGTGAGTGTTTGGTTTAAAGAATAACTATGTCATGTTGGATGATTTAATGGTTAAATAATATACAATATAAATATAAGCTGCTCATAGGGATGCTTCTTCCCCTGTTACGTTTGCTAATTCAAGCAAATTAAAATAGAATTTTGTCCCATTACTGTCGGTTTTTGTATTATTTAGATTTAAAATATGTTTGAGAAAAAGTGTTGTTTTTTTTTTAAATTTTGTTTTTATGAAATTATGAAAGAGATGAGAGAAAGTATAATTATCCAATCCTACACAGATAATTTTCTTTCATTCCATGCGTACTTATGTTTTAAAATTAAATCAGAATTTTAGTAATTAAAGCAACATATATAAAACAAAATGTAATAATCACTTGCTACAACAAGGAACATTTAAATGATTTAAAAAAAAAGTTAATTGATTATGAACGTATATTTCAGGTAAAAGAAGATTCAGTGTCAAGTTATGGAAGACTTTTATAGATTGTTTTAACTGCTTACCTGTTGCTGCCATCATCGATGAAAAAATATTTTGTTGTCATGGAGGTAAAGATTCCTAAATATTAAATTCCATGGAAGAACATAGTAAAATCATTTTGTAAAATTCATTAAATACGACATATTTATGTTTAATATAGGGTTGTCTCCAGATCTTCAGTCCATGGAACAAATCAGAAGAATCGTCAGACCCACAGATGTCCCAGACACAGGTAACTTGTAATGGTTAAATAAAAAGTTTTCTATAATTATAGTTTCATTGTACTTAATTAACTTCTGGGATAGATTATGATTAACTGTCGTTCTTCTCAATATTAATTCCAATCTCTATTAGTAAATTTGCTTATTAAAAGTTCAAAAAAAACTTTTTCTGCTCCACATATATACCGTACCATCATGTGCATAATTATACGTATTTACTGTTTAAGGTTTACTGTGTGATCTTTTGTGGTCGGATCCTGACAAAATGGTTAAGGGCTGGGAAGAAAATGATAGAGGGGTGTCATTCACGTTTGGTGCTGAAATCGTCAGTAAATTCTTAAATCATCATGACCTGGATCTTATCTGTCGTGGTCACCAGGTATTCTTGCCACAGAAAATTTTATTCTCTCTCTCTTTTTATTTCAAAACCTTAACTCTTCTAATGAATATTAAGCACTGTCTTCTACAATATTTTGAAGGTCTTTTCAATCAGAAAAAGTTAAATTCTACATTTATTTTTTGTGCATTTAGGTATTTCCAGTTTTTTTTGTTTATTGCATCGGACATGCTAACATGCTTTTCCCCATTCCATTTCTTAAGGTTGTTGAAGATGGATACGAGTTCTTTGCCAAAAGACAACTAGTGACAATATTTTCAGCTCCAAATTACTGTGACGAGTTTGACAATGCTGCTGCAATGATGTCAGTTGACGAATCACTCATGTGTTCATTCCAGGTAAACTTTTCACCTAAAACAGAATGTTTCTTTGTTTCTTGGTCATTTGTGAGGAATTAGTAAAATAATTTCAAATTATACAGTATAAACATAAGTAAAGGAATCTCGTTTTTTTTTTTTTTTTTTTTTTTTTTTTTTTTTTAGAAAGAGAGTACTTGGTTGTCATTTTTGTGCTATGTACCACTAAATAATGTTTTCAACGAATTTTTAGATACTTAAACCTGCAGGAAAGAAACAGCTCTACAACTATCAAGGGAGACCGAAAACTCCTCCTCGACGGAAGTTCTGTGATCTACAGGAAGTAAATAAAGAAAAGAAAACTGATATCAAAGACGATAGAATGAAAGAGAAATTTTCATCACAGCTATGACTTATAGGCTGCATTGATAACATTGAAAATGAAACGATAAGCTAGCAAGCTTTGAGAATCTATACATATTAAATCGTTTAAGATTTCAATATACCCATGTTTTGCTTAATATATGTTTTTGAATATCTGCACACGTCTATGTTGTGAAATCATTTATTTTGTCAAAAGTGAATAAATGTTGATCGATAGTTTTTGATACGTTGATTTTGTATGGCGTGAAGAGAGTAAAAAAGAAACGAATCTTAATTTTAAAAAAATAAGCAAAACACTGTATAAGATTTATTACAGGAAGGAGAGTAACTTTAAAAAAAAATCTGATTAGTTCCATTTGAATGACAGATTATAATTACAATTACATATAATATAACTCAATGTAATGTTGTATATTTTCAGAGAAAAAATTGGCGAAGTAATGCATAATATCAAAATATAGAATAGAATGAATTTGATTCAAAATTCATCTTAATAAAATATGTTATTTCACATATATTATCTAATATTAAGTTTAATTTCGATAAAAGGACAGAAATATGAAGAATGGTGACATGACACCTTTTTTAGTGGTGTGACTATCGAAGATTCCTTAATGTAAATGCTGATTACTCCCAAATTAACTGTTATTTGAGCATAGCTGCATGACAAGATATTTCATAAGATCATTTTTTTGAAAAAAGTAATAATAAGCACACGACTAGTCTTTTCAAAATAAATTGCAATTTTGCATGCCCAAGTTCAGGTATAAAATTACAAACAGAGATATTATATTTCATTTTAATGTTTTCCTTATGATTACATCGTACAAAAAATATCATATATACCTGCTTAAAATCAACTGAAAGTATTGCTTTGATAAGTAAGCTAAAACAATGTTGAAGATTGTGGTATTAGCAGGGTTAATATACCTTGTTCATTCCACAGAGATAAAGCTTCGTTTAACAGGTCAGTTTTCTATTATACAGTTGAACTTCGGTGTCTCTAACACTGATATTTCGAATACCATGGATATGTCGAAGAGATTTTGAAGTCCCAAGCACTTATTTCTTAAGTATTTTACCCTGGATATCTCGAATCCTCGGATATCTCGACGTATTTTCTTGGTCCTTAAGTTCGAGATAACGAGGTTTGACTGTATATATATATATATTCAACTTGTTAATGATGACGCATAATAATTTTCTCTCAAGATATATGAGCATATAAATACCTTTCGGTCCACTACAATTTTTTAAAATCAGAAAATTGAAAAAAAACCTTTAATAGTTTCTGCATTGAATTAACTTGCAAGAGAAGTCTTGGAAAAGACATTTATCGCCCCCCCCCCCCCCCATCTGGCCCCTGGGACGAAAATGAAAGTTCCAAAATTATTGCATATCTTCAGAGCACTCCCAATCGTCTTGCAAAAGATGAGAAGACTACGGTATAAAATATATGAGTTATTGGAACCACATTTTTGCAAAATAAAAAAAAGTATTCAAGCCATACTTGACCCCCACAGCGAAACTGAAATTTCCGAATCCTGTTGCACATCTGCAGGACACCCCTAGTGTGAAAATTCCAAAAAATTATTGCACATATTCAGAACACCCCCAATAATCTTGCAAAAGATGAAATGGTTACTGCGTTGAATGTCAGAGGAACCAGTTTTTTTTGTAAATTAAAAAACGTCGTTTCTATTTGACCCCCAGAGTGAAATTGAAATTTCCGAAACCCTATTTCAAATATGCAGGAATGCCCCTAATCATCTTGCAAAAAGATGAGATGGCTACTGTGTAAAATGCAAGAAGAGTTCTTCTAACCCCTATTTAGCCCCAAGGTGAAATTAAAAATTTTGAAATCTTATTGCACATCTGAAGATCACCCTAATCATCTTGCAAAAGTTGAAATGGCTACTGGGTAAAATGTATGAGGAGTTCGGGGAACAAGGCTTTGTTTAAAAAAAAATCGTTTTTCGATATATCTCCATGTAACCCCAGGGTGAAAATGAAAATTTCAAAACCTTAATGCACATGAACAGAACTCCCATAATAATCTTGCAAAAGATGAAGTGGATAACTGCATAAAATGTTAAAGGAGTTCTGGGATCCAGACTTTTGTATTATGAAGAACACCATCATCATCTTGCAAAAGATGAAATGGGCTAGTGGGTAATTCTAGGAATTAAGTCTTTGCATTAAAAAAAATAAATCATTTTTTGACCTCATTTCAACCCCCTGAGTGGAAATGAAAATTTCTAAACCTTTTTGCACATTCGCAAGACTCCCACAATCACCTTGCAAAAGATGAAATTGCTACTGCATAAAATGTAAGAGGAGTTCTGGGAACCAATGTTTTTGTAACATGAAAAATGTCGTTTTTCGACTTCCATTTGCCCTGCAGGGAGAAAAAGAAAATTCCAAAACCTTATTGCACATCTACAGGATAAAATCAGTTATCTTCCAAAAGATGATTTAGCTACTGGGTAAAATATAAAAGGATTTTCGGGAACCAGGTTTCTGTAACAACATAATTTTTCGAACCCCATTTGACTCCAGGGTTGAAAATAAAAATTTCGAAACCTTATTCCACATCTACAGGACACTATATCTTATATTTCAAAAGATATATTAGTAACTGCATAAAAAACAACTATATACTCAAACTTTCTTTAGAAAGTGCGGTTATTACTAGTTCATGTTGCTTTTTTATTGTGTAGATGAAATGAAAGCTATGTTGAAGAAGTCTAAATGGGATCATAAGAACACAGCTGTGTCTATACGGGGACCTGTGATTCTCGATATACAGTCTATTTATAAACTCAGAGAAGGACACGTGCTTCTTAAATCAAGTATGTTTTTTACCACGAATAAGTACTTTTATAAGTTGATAAATGACAAGAAATCTTAATGAACAGAAATACAAATATGAGTTTACATCTTTTATTTATTACGTATTTTATTATTGAAACTAGTTATTCAAGGAAAGAACATTCTTGTACATATAACAATATATATACATTTTCAATCTTTTTTTTTTTTGATAAGATTCTTTGCAAATAAGAAAACAGTTCATTTTCTCATGAGTGAGTATGAATATCTCAAATATACGTGACATCATAATACCGTTTACCAGACGTCAAAACTATAGTGCAAACTGCTTTGTTTTTAAAATAATATCAGATTAATAATGTAAATATAAGTTATAAATTTGATTTTTGAGAAATTCAGGAGGAACATTTACATGATCTACAATCGTCATTCCTGTATATGCATTATGAAGCAATAACGCGTGAAGCATCGTAGTTCATGTCCTCACGAATTTTCAAAAAATTAAATTCATTTCTTAAATTTTAAATAAAAAAATCTTATGATCTTAAATGTATTCCTTTTTCCCCATCTAATCTATGTAACTTTAAGAAAATAGCCATACTTGTCATGTTACATTTATATGTTAGACTTGAAAGAGAAACACAAGAACTGTGCTGATATCCTCAAACACAGACCCCTGAGTAAAGACGGTGTGTACACGATTTACCCAGACATGAACGACTGACGGAGGCGGATGGACGGTAACTATGACACTGATACTGATAGTGTTAAGGTTTTGCTTACATATGTTATTTTCAATCTAATCATTTTTAAAATCTCAGCTATCTTATTCTATCGTAATTAGTTTAATAAATATATGATACAGGTGATTCAAAGACGACAAAATGGCCATACCGATTTCTACCGGAACTGGACCGAGTACAAGAATGGATTTGGGGACGCTAGGGATGAATATTGGCTTGGTAAAGGAAAAGCTTATAATTCATTTATTCAAAATTTTTGTAATACATTAAACAAAAATGACGTTAAATCTGAAAACTTAGAAAATTAACATGAATGTGAATTTTTTTAAATATAGGAAATGATGCGATTCATTTTCTGACAAAAGACAAAAAACAAGAACTTAGAATAGACTTGGAGAAGTTCTCATGACTAAAAGCTCATGCGACATACTCTACATTTTATATTGGGAACGAGACTGATAACTATAAACTTACAGTGGGAGGATTCAAAGGAACCAAAGGTCTAGGTAAGAAAACCTTTCATTGCTACCAGTTAATGAACCAAAGGCAATGATTTCATGGATTTTAACATAGATATATATTTGTTTAGTAAAAGAGACTTATGTTTGAATTGAACTTAGTTGAGGTTTCACTTCCGTCTGCATTGAGATGTTTGCTTATATAGTTATTGAATTAGGAATAGCTCTTGAACTTACAGTATTTAGAATATATTGCATTAATTTAAAATTATACCTCATTAAAATCATTGAATGAAAAATTTGGAGGATATCAATTTCTAACACCCCCTCCCCCAAAAAAGATGAAGAATAAAGGCTCAAGTAAATCACAGTGCCATGTAGTAAAGTACCAAAGTATCAATTGAAATCAAAGTACCAACATTTTATAGTGAATTAAAGAAGTTCTCTTTCTAAATGTAAACTTTAGTTTACAATAGTATACTTTTGTTAGCTTAGGTAAAGTTTCTATGGAGTAATGATACTTCCAATACATTATCTAAGTATTATAAGTATGAACTTATTTGTGAGTGAGGTATTATTTCTTTTTATTACTCAGATAAGATTGAGTTTGTTTTTTAAGACCAGAAAGACATTAAAACACATTTCTTCATGATCATACGTTATCAAAATCTTGCCATTAAATCTTTTTTTATTGCTTATCTCCACTTTAAATGAATTATTCTCTTTTATTGAATATTTTTTGAATAATGTTTTGAATTCAGGATTTAACATTGCCAAGATATATATGCGTAGTTTGACAGAAGCAGTGCTTCCACAACATTTAAAACTACATTTCTCTTCAAATAAACGATAAAGATATTCTGATATCTTCTTTTGTAATTGTATTCAGTTGGTATATACATTTCATTCTTAATCGTACTTTGTCAAGAATAGGGTGTCCATAACTTAATAACGAATATAAATTTAGTACAAACACATGATATGGTCGAGATTTC